AGAAAGACCAAGCCTTGGTAAGAGGATTGCAGCTCTTAGCTCTTGATCTCACGGGTACTTCCAGAGATGGGAGACAGGGCCTGGATATTGAGGTCAGTGACTTAATCAGTCAGGTCTGTTCAGTGAAATCTCTATAAAGCCACTAAATGATGGGGTGTGGGCAGCCTCCGGGCGGTGTGAGGAGGATGGCCACCCAGAGAAGTCATGGCATCTCTCCCTGCCTCCCTGCCATACTTTGTCCTGTACCTCTCTTTCATTTGGCTGTTCTGAGTTAGCCAGTTTTCCTGAGTTTAGTCATTCTAGTGGATTACCAGACCTGAAGAGGGGGGTGTAGGTACCCCTGATTTATGGCTGATCAGTCAGAAGTCCAGGCATCATCTTCCCCTCGGACCTGAAGTCGGGAGGGTCTGGTGGGACTGAGCCCTTAACCTGCGGGGTCTCTCCTAACTCTAGAAGTTGGAATCAGAATTGAACTTTATTGTTGGAAATCCAGCTGGTGTTGAAGAATCCAAAAATTGGACTGTTGCAAACATTTTTTTTTTAACGAAGGTGTTAGAGTAGAATATAGGTGTTGGAGTGTGTCACATCTTTCCCTTTTGTTATGCTTATGTGCTCATGTGCTACTTCGTGATATAAAATGTTACTTCTTACTGGTGATCAAGCCACCCTGGAAGAAATCTCCAAGCCAATGATACCAAACTGAGTATCTGATAGATAGCTCACTGTCTAGGGGCGATGCAAACACACAGGTGTGAAAACTTTCTGGGCAGCCAGAGGATGAGATGGAGAGTCCTACTAGACAGGCAGACGGTGGAGGAAGAAGGTCAGCATTTGGCTGTCTGGGGAAAGGTGGGTGGGTGGGAGCAGAGTGAGCAGGTGACAGCTGGCTGGGTTTTCCTAGTTGAGGAGGAAGCAGTGGTCAGATAGTCTCCAGGTGGCTGGAGCTCTTGGCCGGTGAGCTTCCAGTTCCCTCATCCATGAAATCAGACGGATTCTAGCACCCTGTGAGAGGGGTGTTCTGTGGGCATGTGTTCAACATGGGTCTGGCTCAGTGCCTGCTTGTTGCTCATTTTTATTGTGATTTCTCACCGGTGCAATGAAGGACATCTGTAAAAATCTTAGAGTTGACGTCAAGGCTTCTTCTTGAAAACTTGGGGGTAGAGTTTGTTGCTCTGCGCTGTTGAAGACTATTATTCCGTGAGTAAACCATGTGAGTGTTACACATTTATCAGTTACTGGATATTTGCATTGTTTCTACTTTGGCTACTGTGAACATTCATATACATCTCTTTAGATACACATATTTTATGTCTCTTGTATAGATTTCTTATTTTTATTTTTTTTGGTACTGGGAGTCAAACTCAGGGCCTTGTGCTTACCAGGCAAGCGCTAAGCTTGCTGAGCTACCTTCCCCAGTCGTTATATAGATTTCTTGGGGTGGAATTTCTAGATTATATTGTAAGTTTAACATTTTTAGAAATGTTAAACAGAAAACTGTTTAGAAACAAAACTGTTCTCCAAAGTAGCTCTTCCAGCAGGCAGTATATGAACGTTCCAGTTTCGCTAATGTTCTCACTAACACGTGTTAGTATCGTTTTTTTATTCTAGCTAATCTATTGGCTATCTCGTTATGTATTGGTATCACATTATGGTTTTAATTTGAATTTCTCTTATGACTAATGATACTGAATATTGTTTTCATGTGCTTTTAACCATTCATGTATGTTTGGTAAAATATCTGTCAGATCTTTTGCTGATTAAAAAAACTGAATTGTCTTTTTAACTATTTAACTAGCAAAATTCCTTATATATTATGCATACAAATTATCAGATATATAAATTGCAAATGTTTTCCCTCAGTCTGTGCTTGCCTGCCTGCCTGCCTGCTTTCCTTCCCTCCTTCCCTCCCTCCCTTTCCAATTCATTCCTTCCTTCCTTCCATGTTATGGGTTGAATCCAGGTATTCACATAGACTGAATCTACATTTTGCCACTGAGCTACATGTCCATTCTCTCTATTTTCTTATGATGTCTTCTGAAGTGCAGAAGTTTTAAAATTTGGCAATGACCAATTTATTGATTTATTCTCTTATGGATTGTGCTTTCGGTGTGTAGCTAAGAATTTTTTGCCCAATTTAAGATCATGGAGATTTACTCCTGTATTTTCTTTTTGGTGGTTGTTTTGTTTTTTGATTGCTTGTTTAGTTTTTTTGAGACAAGATCTCACCTTGTAGTTCAGGCTGGCTTTGAACTCACTATGTAGCTCAAATTGGCCTTGAACTCATGATCCTCCTTCCTGTACCGCCCCAGTGATGGAATCATAGGCTTGTGCCACCATGCCTGGTCTGTATTTTCTTCTAGAAGTTTTAGAGGTGTAGCTCTTTTTTTTTTTTTTTTTTGTCTTTTGAGACAGGGTCTCGCTATGCAGTTCAGGCTGGCCTTGAGCTCACTTTGTAGCCCAGGCTGGTCTTGAACTCAGTCATCCTCCTGCCTCAGCTCCTGAGTGCTGGGATCACAGGCGTGCGCCACCACGCCTGGCTAGAGATGTAGCTCTTAAATTGTAGTCTCTGACCATTTTGATGTGTGTGTATGGTATAAGATTTAGATTGAGGTGAATTCTTTGTCCTTTGTGCAGAAAAGAATTCACACAGCAAGTCTGAGACTGCTATTCTAAGAAAGACCTGCTTGCAAGGTTGGCCCATGGCTAGCATTTGGAAACTTAGATTTTAGGAGGGTTTCCTCTTTCCCAGACTGGCAGCTGAGCTCACTGTACCTAAAGTGTTTCTACAAATGAAGTCGTTTATGCTGAGCTGCCTGATTTCCTTCTGGCAACCTGGAATTTTGGAATTTTGCTGAGTGGAGGTGCCTCCCTGATTAGCCCCAGTAAAAGTTCTGGACACTACATCTTTAAGGAGCTTTTTGATAGGTGACATTGCAGATCTATAATGATAACTCATTGCTGGAGGGATTAAGCATATTCTGTCTGACTTCACTGGGAAAGGACTCTTAGAAACCTGTGCCTGGCTTCCTTCACACCTCATCCCGTGGGCCTGTTGGGCCTGTTCTATTGCTGACTTTGTTTGTATCTCTTTTCTCACTTTCCTGCCTCCTGCTCCTCCTCCACCCCCACCCCCTCCCCTTCCCCTTCCCCTCTTCCTCCTCCTCTCCTTCCCTCTTCTCCTCCTTGATCTGTCTCCCCTTCAGTGTTGGCTTGAACTCAGAGACTTTACCTTGAAGTGTGTACATTCCTAGCCCTTTTGAGACAGGGTCTCATTAAGTCAGTAGATTGTCCAGGCTGGGCTTGAATTTGATTGTTTGGTTGTTTTTTTTTTGCGGGGGGTGGTTTCCGGTTAGGGAATTGAACTCATGACCTTGCACTTGCCAGGCAGGCGCTCTGCCGCTGAGCTAAATCCCCAGCCGCTGGGCTTGAATTTGAGACCCTCTTGCCTCAGCTTTCCTGAGTGCCGGAGTTATAGGCATGAGTTGCTGTACCTGGCTTGTTTGTGTCCTTCAGCTCTGATGAATCAAAGCCATGAGTCCTGAGAGTCCTGCTGAATCAGTGAACTGAGGGTGATCTTGGGAACCCTGACATACCGCTGGTATTGAATCACTTTAGCACCATTTGTTGAACTTTATTTTTTTTTTGTCAAATATGGTTAACCATACATGTAAAGATTTGTTTCTGGGCTCCATTCTGTGCTCCATTTCTGTCTTGATTACTCTGGCTTTATAGTAAGTTTTAAAATCAAATATCAGAAGTCCTCCAAATTTGGTCTTCTTTTTAGAAATAATCTGGCTGTTCAAGGTTCTTTGCATCTCCATGTAAATTTTAGGATTTGTTATCAATTTCTACTACAAAGTTTATGGGGCTTTGATTGGGATTGTATTGAATCAGTAAAGGAACTAGGCAGACTTCATTTTGCTTTTGTTTTTTTGGTACTGGGAATCAAACTCAAGGCCTCTCGCTTGCCAGGCAGGCGCTGTGCTGCTGAGCTATATTGCCAGCCCCTGCTTTTGTTTTTTTGAGACAGGGTCTCACTGTGTGGTTTGGGTTGGCCTTGAACTCACTGTGTAGCCTAGAATGGCCTTGAACTAATGGAGATCCTCCTACCTTAGTGTCCCCAGTGCTGGCATTATAGGCGTGTGCTACCATGCCTGGCTGAGACTTGACATATTGATCATAATGAGTCTTCTAATCCTTACACATGGAATAACTCTGCATTTAACAGCTGAGCACTGTTTCATAGTTTTTAAGGTACAAATCATGTACTATGTTTGTTATTTATTCCTGAATTTATTCCTGAATGTTTTATTCTTTTTGATGCATTTGTTAGGTTTTATAAATTCTCTTTTATTCTTTGTTTGTTGAGAATTTTAATCCACCCCCTACTTCCATGGAAACAGTGGTCTTGCTTTTGTTTTTTTGTTGTTTATTTTAATTGTTTGTTTTTTTCTAGAGAAGATCTCACTGTACAGTTCAGAGTTTTGATTTTTTGAGACAGGGTTTCACTATACAGTTCAGGCTGGCTTCAAACTCACAGTGATTGTCCTGCATCAGCCTCCTGACCTGGGATTACTGGCATGCTCTACCACCCCTGGCAATGGTCTCACTTTGTTGCCCAGCCTCTCCTTAAACTTTTGAGCCCAAGAGATTTTTCCATCTCAGCCTCCCAGGTAGTGGGAATTACAGGCATGTGCCACTGAGCTTGTTAGCTTATCTATGTCTTTTCAAAGGGATCATTTGTGGCCCTTTAGTGGGTGACTGGGAGCTGTCTTTTCTCAAAGTTATTTTGTTGCAGTGATTTTAGGATTCCTCTGCGTAAGCTCACAGTATCATGGGCTACATCTCCAGGTCCCTTTGCCAGCAGTCGATGCTAACTGTAGGGCAGATGTCCAGCATCTCAGACTGGGACTTCTCTGCCGTTAGGGACTGGGTCTGTCCACCTGGCACCTGGGAATGCTTGGCTGAGACTCCCCTCTCTCCTTCTTCTCTTCCAACAGAGTAGCCACAAACCAGAAGGTGCGGGAGCAGGTGCGCCTGGAGCTGAGTTTCGTTAACTCAGACCTGCAGATGCTCAAGGAGGAGCTGGAGGGGCTCAACATCTCAGTAGGAGTGTACCAGAGCACAGAGTAAGTCCACACCCACCTCTGGGGTGGTGCGCACAGAGGCTGGCGGCCCTGGCTGCGGGAAGTGAGGCAGTGATTGGATTTGGCCTTGAGCTGAGTGCCAGGCTACAGGGACGAGTCTGTGGAACTGGATGGGAAATACCTGGATTATTGGACCAAAGGACATTTGTCCTGGGGCCCTTGGGCGTGGTTTAGAGAATTGTGTGAGTCTGTGGGAAGGTTTGATCTATCACGCCGGCTGCTGGTGGTTCTGTGGAGAGATGTCCTAGAAGCGCCTCTCTGGGTAGCTGTGAGAGCTGGCCTTCCAGACAGGGCCGTGTGGCCCAGCCATGTCCCTTCGGCCCTCTACCAAGCACAGGGCCTGGCCCTGGTCTTCCTCTTGATAGGATGCAAGAGTCATAACGACTTTTATAGGGATACTTCACAACAAAGATTAGGGGAGCCACCCAAGTCTCCAAGAAGACAGTGCAATGGAGGCACTTCAGAAATATATCCTGTTAAATATTTGAGAAATGAATGTTCTTCTTCAGAAGCATTCTTTAGGGAGTGTTTGCGGGTGGTGGAATATTGAGGTGTGGCCATCAGAAAAGCCCAGAAAGTCTTCCACCCAGGATGAGCTACTTTTTTTTGAGGGGGTGGGATGGGGTGTAGAGGTGGTAGAATCCCCTGTTAAAGAAGAAATAACTCCAAAAAAGGTTTATATGTTTTTCTTTCGGGGAAGGGAGGTGTCTCAAAAAGTGGGTGGCCTCCAGGGGAAACTCAAGCACAAAATAGTTCACTGGATTAACAGAAGGAAGACCTTGGAATCGGAAGCCTCTGCGGTCCTGGCTTTTGGAAGCCCAAGCCCTGCTGCTCTTTCTCTGGTGCTGGGCCTGGCCACCTCGCCTATGGGCTCCCAGTGTAGTTTGAAAGCCCGGTCAGCCGCAGTGCACAGAAGGTTTTCCCTGCCCAAACATGGGAGTTGAATTCCACTGTTTGCCCAAAATGGTCCAGTTCCTCGAAGAGGCGAGGCGGGCACACTTTAATAATAAATGGACATTGTTTCATACTGGCATTTGCTGTGTTACACAGCAAGGCTGTACCCCGAAGGGGGCAGTGTCCCTCTGTGGTTACTGTGGCTCTGGAGCGGCCTCAGTTGTCCGCTGTGTTATTGAGGAGAGGGGAGACGTGCAGAATCCCAGGAGCACCTTGTGCTTGCATCCTCTGGCCCAGCCATTTCCACAGCTGTGCCTTTGCTTAGCACGTTCACAGGTCCTCCCCTGGGCAGTGGGGCCAGGATTTGGTAGCTGGTGCTGAGAGAAAACCTTGATTGCATCCTTGCCCTGGTACTGTACCAGTGGCAGCTGTCACTCTGTGGGACAGACACCATTTTGTCCTAGTCAACATTGTGACTTCTTCCTGCTTCTCTAATCTGCTCCCCCCTGCAAAAAATTTTAAAAATATTGTTTCCTTCCTGAAACTGTAGATCTTTAAACACTTCTGGGAGGTAGGCAGGGAAGAAGTGGTCTCACTGTGCAGATGAGAAAACTAAGCACCACACTGGGGCTTGGTCCTCAGGACTCCTGTTGCTCCTCTTCTTGCCTGGACGTCATGGGAAGAGTAGCGGTTGCCTCCAGCCCCAGTGGGCTGAGGAGGGATGGCACTGGTGCCTGGAGGTCGAGGCCTGGCTTGCCCTCAGGTCCCTCCGCCACACTCCAGCCTCTAGGAGGCTTTGGGGAAGCCGCATACCTGGGCTGTGTCTCACCTGTGCTGAGCACAGCTGTGCCACAGTGGCAGTTTCACTTTACAGCCCATTGTCCGGCTCACCGTGCCTGCATTCCTAGCCTTCTCTCTGGGCTGGGCTGGAGGTCTCCTGTTACAGGTCAGGGAGCTAAATCCCTCTTTGCAGAACATAGGCTGCACTGGTCCACTTCCTGCTGGCCCTGCCCCTAGGAATGTGGGCTCAGGGAGCACTCGTAGGGCAGCCTGTGGGGTGACCCAGTGGTCACTGGGAGGCGCTGGGAGTGGAGATGAAATGGTGGGCTGATTCCCGCCCTGGGCTTGGAGCCGGGTGCACTGAGGTGTTGGATAGGCTTTCCCTGAACAGGTAAGTGGACACCTGGTGTGATGTGCCCCAAAGGACAAGGCACGCTGGGGTATTGCATGGGGAGACCCACTGTGATGAGAAGAGGAGGAGGAGGAGGGTGAGGGTGAGGACCGAAAGGACTCCCAGTGTGACAGGTCGCAGACTCAGGGCAGGAGGTAGTGAGCACCACACACACGGGCCTGGCACACGTGGGTTCTTGGCACACTCAGCACAGGACTGGGGTGGTGGTAGGGGCCTCGTATTTGGCTGGGGCATTCAGCCCTCGCAGGGAGTGGGATCCCTTTGTGAACAGAAGGAAGGGTGTGACCAGAGCTGTCTTTATGGAATGCAGGCCTGTCAGCTGGGCGCGTGCTGGACTGGCCTGAGGAGAGGGCTAGGGACGAGCTCAGCTGCTGGGGCAAGGCCATGGGGCACACAGTGGCTGGTCTGGGGTGCTCATATACCTTGTCATGTTCCTTGTAGGGAGGCATTCACAATTCCCTTGATTCCTCTTGGCCTGAAGGAGACCAAAGACGTTGACTTTTCAGTCGTCCTCAAGGTAAACCTCCAAGCACTGGGTCCGGGGCTCAGAGTTTAACGTGGAAATGGAGGACTGGTGTGCTCCTTGCAGTGCGTTGGGCTGCCTGTGCCAGGGGTCACTTGGTGTGTGCAGCGTGACTCTGAGCCCTCTCTTGGCCTGCTGCACAGAAAACAGGAACATATTCTGGCTCTCACCCTGTGCTGGCTCCAGAAGCTCCTCCTGTTTGCCTGGGGAAGGCGGGTTGGGGTCTGGGACTCCTCGGGAGGCCAAGTCAAGGTGCTCTGTGTGGGATGCTTGGGAATTTATTTTTGTTTTTGTTTTTGTTTTTCTTCCGGTACCAGGAATCGAACTTACGACCTTGCGCTTGCCAGGCAGGCGCTTTTGCCACTGAGCTAAATCCCCAGCCCTGGGATTTAAAAACTTTACCCCATATCAGTAGCTTTATTATTAAAATTGTTTAAGTGGTTTAGGCGATGTTTTTCAAAGACCAGCTCAAGTTTTTTCCCAGACATTTTATTATGGAAAATTTCTGAACTTATGGAAGAACTGAAAGACTTTTATAGTGAGCCCCTATATATTCACTATGTAGATTCTATCATTAACATTTGGCTTTATCACCATATACCTAAAACATTTTGCTTTATTGGTTATCTGTCCATTTATGCATCCTTGTTTCTATCCATCAGTCCATCTGATTTTGTGACACATTTAAAAGTAAATCAAAGATGTCAATTTACTACTCTTCAGTGCTTGAATAACTAGAGTTTTGGGTTGTTTTCTCCCCTAATTCCAGGGTGTCTGATCTCCTCTGTCCTTTAGCAGGTACTTACAGGCCCACCTGTGCCTGGCATTGTGCCTGGCAATGCCACAACCTGTGCCTTTGGGGTCCTGTTGGTCAGTGGAGGCCTGCATAGACAGTGACTCCAGTGGAGACACACAAGAGAGACTGTGTTTCTAGCCTGGGCCAGAAGACTGTTCCATGCCAAGAGTTTTTTCAACCCTCCGCCCACATTCCTCAATTTGAGGTTTGGGATTTTTTGGACTGGGGATCGAACACAGGACCTTATGAACACTAAGCACGCATTCTACCACTGAGCCACACTCCCAGCCCTGTTGTGGGTTTGGGATATAATGAATCACTTTGAACTGCCACCTAGGAGGAGACAAGAGAACGAGGGGAAGGCTGTGCCTGTCTCTGAGCTTTAACAGCATAGGCATGAGAGATAGGAATGAATCCCAGCATGGTGAGAAATGCTTCAAAGAATTATGTTTCTTTCCACAGTAATCCTGTTCAGTGACTCATCTCAGACCATTTTCAGTTGAGAAAAGAAAAAAAAATTATCATATGGCATTTTGACCACTGTAAAATTTATCTATTAAGAGCAGTTGGAAGCTGAGTGTGGTGATACCCGCCTGTAATCCCATTATTTTGGAAAGCTGAAGTAGGAGAATTGCAAATTCATTCCCAGCCTGGGCAATTTAATGAGACCCTGTCTCAAAATAATAATAATAATAAAAAAAGGGTGGGTGTATGTAGTTTAGTGTGGAGGTCCTAGATTCAGTTACCAGTACTGGAGTTTGGGGAGCAATTAATACTTTGAAAGCATTTGCACTGTGAGTTTCTCTTTGCCTGAGGCCTCTTCAATTGCAGTTTTGTTTAAATCCAGATTACAGACCCTCCCTGGAAGGCTGAGGTTAGGCTGGAATGGGAGAAGGGCAGTTGGTTGTATTTCAGGACTCAGGTTTAACAGAAAGTTGATTTTCTAGGTAGAAAACATCTCAGGGACAGCAGCTTTATGCTAGCTTCTCAAGGCTGCCTGCACTTTTAGCTGTAACTTGTCATTTTGTGGGATTTGAGACAATCCATATATTTGTAGAATGCCTTTAGTTGTATTTATAGAGTAATTTATTTAAGATTTAATTTGTCTGTTGCTTGGTCCCGGAGCTACAGGAATGCAGGCATTTTAAAGGATTCTATTGAAGAAACTTGGGAAATTTATGAGCATCTGTAAGGATCCAAACAGGTCACAGGCTGAATTCCACATTAAAGCAGGAGAAAAAAAATCCCACGTTGTGGGCACTGATAACTGCTATTCAGCCTTGCCTTCTAACCACATCATTTCAGCCTAAAAGGGACTCTATGGATGTCAGGCATCCAAAATGAGAATGTTTGGGGCACTTTTTATTTTCTGCCTTCCACATTTGTGCTTGAGAGAAACACAGGTCCCAGAGAAGGGGTTCTATGAACTGAATGGGGGAGTTGCACGGAATGTTTAAGGTCAGGATAGCATCATGGTGTGATTTTGTTCTATGTTAAAGAAATGGGTTTTATTTCTGTGTTTGTTTTTTTGAAACAAATTCTCCCTCTGTGGTATAGGCTGGCCCAGAACTCATTGTCTTGTCTCTGACTACTGGGATTACAGGTGTTCGCCACCACTTTTGGCTAAGAAATAAGGTTTAAATGGCCACATTAAAAGTCACCACCAAAGCTGGGTGTGGTGACATATGACTATAATCTCAGCACTTGGGAGGTTGAGGCAGTAGGACCACCTTGAGTTCAAGGCCAGCCTGGACTACATAGTGAGACCCTGTCTCAAAAAAAAAATTCCATTTTTAGAGAGTGGAAGGTTTTATTTGTTTCTATGTTTTGCCTTTAAATAGAGCTTCCCCTCTGCCCATGATTAAGAACATTATTGCAAACCAGGCATGGTGGCATATGCTGGTGATCCCAGCACTTGGGAGGCTGAAGTGGGGGGATTTTCAGTTCAAGGCTAGCTTGGACTACAGAGCAAGATTCTATTTCAAAAGATCAAAAAAGAGAAACAAAAATTTAAAAAAAAAACAAAACCCAGAAAATATTAGCGCAGAATATCCAGAAAACACCAGGCAGGACTTGTAAAGAACCCCCTCCTAGTGAGCTTTGTTACTTGCCCACTATGGTATTTAATCTCTGCCCCTCCAGATCTTTTCCTCTAATCAGGGCCCTCCCTGGGGAGGGCATCGTGAGGGTCAGACAAGACTGGTCCCTTGAGAGTGTCTTTCCTACTCCCTTGCCTTTCTTCCTCTCCTTCCTGCTGGGCAGGCATCTGTAGGCCCCTGCTGTGGCTTCCTATTCAGTGTGGCCGAGAGGGGAAGCAGCAGCTGGACATGGGCGGGTGGTCAGAGGGAGGTCCTGGGTTCCTTGCCTCCCCCAGCTGCCATTTGCATTCTTCTAGGGAAGGCCACGGGGCAGTGGGTGGGGTGGAGGTGGGGTGGGGGTGGGTACTGGCTGCCTACCTGGATAGCCACCTCTGGAGTTCCCAAACGGCTTCTTTCCCTGGGCCTTCCAGCTGCTGGGGGTTCAACTATTATTGTTATTTTTTGTTTTGTGCACTGGGATCCAGCCCAGGGCCTTGAGCATGCTGGGCAAGTGCTTTCCCGCTGAGCTGATTCCTCAGCCCTGGGGTTCTATTCTAATGGATTCGAGAGCCCTGCCCCGGTGGTTTCCCTTAACTCTGCCCACACCACTATAATAGTAACAGTCCCTTCCTTAAATTCCCATCAGCCCCACCATTTGTGTGGCCCCTCCTTCCTGCCGACCCCAGGGCTCTGCTGTCCTTTGGGGAAAGAGCCTCGCGCTGGCAGTTCCCAGGCCCTGCACTGTGAGAGGAGCCAATCCAGTCGCAGAGCTGGTCCCTTGGAGAGCTGGGACTGATAGCGGTGTTTTATGTTGCTGTGGGGACATTGCTGCATTGTTATCTACCTGATTCTTAAATCTCCTGCATCTGCCTCTGATCCCTATCTGGCTCTGTTGTCTCCCGCGGTGCACTGTTATCTTGTGGTGCACTGTTATCTTGCTGCAGGCGCTGCTCTCACCTGTGCCTTTATACTCCTGGTAGAGCAAGCCTCCTTTGTTCCTGTGCTTTTCCTAAATTATTTGGCTTTCCCCCCACATTTTTGTTTCCGTGTTGTGGCCAAAATTGCATCTTTACACTATTGCACATTTTTCTTTGAATATAATAATCTGTTCAATCGTTGGGGCCAACAAACAGCAAATTTTATAGGGGTAGGGACTCTATCTTTCAAAAATGATTTAATAAAAGTCAGGCATATTGATGCGCACCTGTAATCCCAGGACTCTGGGAGGCTGAGGCAAGAGGATCACAAGTTAAAGCCCTGCCTGGGCAAGTTAGCAAGACCCTGTTTCAAGATAAAAAACGGCTGGAGTTGTATCTCTGTGGTAGAATGCCCCTGGGTTCAAGTCCCCCGACTGGGAAAAATTAATAAATAAATGAAAGAAGGAACGAAATGTTATGCCCTTTAGTAAAGTGGAATAGTTGTCTGCTTAATTAAATTAACTTTATCGCTAAGAAAATCAGACATTTGTTGCTATTGTGAAAGGAATTGTCACATTTTTGTGACTGATTACTGCTTGTATCAGAAAAGAAGAATTTTTTTTCATTTAGACTTGGCTATTTGGCTACTTTATTGAATTCTTATTATTTTGGTGATTTTTCAGCCGCTACTGTTGGATTTTATAACTGCTGTTATTTTGTCAAAAATTTGTATTTCTTTTTTTAGTATGCATCATTGTTTTTTCAAATTTGTGGGCTAGAGAACTTTCAGAATTATACTAATACCAGTGACAGAAGTCCTGCCACTTTCTTTTTTTTTTTTTGGTTTTTCTCCGGTACCGGGAACCAAACTCACAACCTTGCGCTTGCCAGGCAGGCGCTTTTGCCGCTGAGCTAAATCCCCAGCCCATAAATTTCTTTTTATGCTTTTTATTTATTTTTTTTTTTTTTTTTTGGTTTTTCTCCGGTACCGGGAACCGAACTCACGACCTTGCGACCTTGCGCTAGAAGGCCTTATTTTGTCTCTGATGTTTGTAGTGGGTCTCAGCTAAATTTTTTTTTTTTTTTTTTTAAACAGGGTCTCACTAAGTAGTTCAGGCTGCTCTTGAACTCACTATGTTGTATCCCAGGCTGGTCTTGAACTTGTAGCAGTCCTCCTGCCTCGGCCTCCTGAGTGCTGGCATTCCAGGACTGTGCCACAATGCCAGAATACATTTAATCTATCCTAGTTTACTAAGTTTCAAGAATCACAATGTATTCATTTATTAATTTCTTGGTTTTTGAGCCTGGGTCCTGCTAAATCACTAAATTGCCCAGGTTTGGCTTAACTTGTTATGCTCCTCCTGTCACAGCCCCCCATAGTGCTGGGATTCCAGGCATGTGCCATCATGCCTGACTTCACATTGGTATTTCGTCAAAATCCTCTTTGACTTTTATGAGGCGAACATGGGTTTCTCTTTCGACTTTCTATTTTAAGTGTAATTCCTCTCCTTTTAAGAAAACCATTGCTGTCCACGGCAGAGGTGGGCAGGGATGTGGATGCGGTCCTGTGTGAGGGAGACGGGTGGCCCGAATCCCTGGGTGGTGCTGAGTGAACACACAGCAGCGCCTCGGCCCTGGCTCTGGCTTGTCAGCTGGGGAGCCCGAGATGGACTTTGTCCTGCTGACCATCCTCACTGTTGCTAACATTATTGATGCAGTATGAAAACCATTCCCAGTTTTACATATGGCCATTGTATTAGAGAGAGGCCGATTCCAGCCACCACGCAGAGTCAGGAAGAAAGCCTGATGACAGAAGACGGTAGGGCAAGTGTGTGCCGTGTGGTGGCACGTGCCTGTGGGGTGGCTTGAGCTCACAGTTAGAGACCAATCTTGGCCACATAGGCTCACTGGGGTTGTCTAAAAATGACCAAATTATAAAATATATTTTTAAATTAAAATTTAAGGAAACGTTTACATTTTCCTAGACTCATCAAGACGTCTGTTAGGGATTTATTTTAAGGGATTGATGAGAGATGTACACAGGGATGACTGTCAGAGTATTATAGTTCATTGTAAAAACCTTGGAAATGATTTTGGCATCTTATCTGGTGGAAGTTAAGTAAAATCTTGTTACAGGTGAACACATGGCAGGTGCTCGGTTTGTTGAAGACGTGAATTGTGCACTCATTACACTCAAAGATTATAGAACACTTAAGTGTCATGTCGTAGACTATTTTATGACATACGAAAACATTTGATAGGTCGCCAAGTTTAAAAAAGTGCATAGCCATTGTGTATGCAGTCCGTACTCACTTGTATAGTGTACACGTCCTAGAGTATGTTGTGTGTATGTGCGTGTGTATGCACTGAATGACACAAAAAGCATGTAAAGTGCGTGAATACAGACGCCTGGGAAAGGAGACTGATTGTCTGGCCAGCGTTCTTGGAGCCAGCCACAGCCAGCACCGAAGGACAGTGCTCTGTAGGAACACTGGCCGTGCCCCTCCCGTTATTCTGACGTCTTTTCTATAATACTTGCCATCATTAAATACAAATGGAGCATCCCTAATCGGAACATCTGAAGTACTTCAAATTCCGTAACTTTTAGAGTGCCAGCAGGATGCCTCAGGCAGAAAATTCCACACCATGAAATTTGGTTTCTTTTTTTCTTTTCTTTTTTTTCTTTTTGGTACCAGGAATCGAACTCAGGACCTTGCACTTGCCAGGCAGGTGCTTAAGCCACTGAGCTATATCCCTGGCCCTTTTTTTTTTTAAATTGAAACTTGGTTTCATGTACTCAGTTATTTAAAATAATGTATAAGCCAGAGATGGTAGTGCACACCTGTAATCCCAGCACTCTGGGAGGCAGAGGCAGGAGGATTGCGAGTATGAGCCCAGCCTTACCAACTTAGCAAGTTGAGGTGGGATGAGAGGAGGAGGAGGGGAAGAAGGGAAGAGAAGGAGACAGCAATGATGGGAGACAACAGCTCAGTGTGAAAGATCTGGGTTCAATACCTGGTACCAAAAAAATAGTATAATATTACTTTCAGTCTGTATATATGAGTATGAAATCATGGATTTTTGTGTTTAACTTGGGTCCCATATCTTATTGTGCATATGCAAATATTTTAAAATCTCAAGGCAAAACAAAACAAAACTGATACCAGAAACACTAATGGTCCCATGCATTTGGATAAAGGCAACTGTATATCACACAGTTTACTTATTTGCTATGCCTATTAGTGCTGTCTGTTTCTCCTTGTGAGAATATGAGCTCTAGTGGGGAGGGAAGAAGGATCTTTGGACACTGCCTGGCACATTGCAAGTGCCTGTCAGTGTTTATTGAATGACTCAGAGCAGTTGTCAGCCTCTGGGTTGTTGTAGACCCAGCTAGGGGTTAGGAGGCTCTCTGGGGTGTTCCTTTGTTGAAGTGCCAGAGCTGCCTTCACAAAGGTGCCAGCATGGACCCTGAGGGGAGCATCATTACATCCCCAGACAGATTTTCTTTATCCGGGGGATCTTGTGCCTAAGTGCTGAGGGGAACCCGAAGATTGAAGGTCTGAGCCCTTGAATATCTGTGATATCTGCCAGAAGTGTTTTATGTCATCAAGATATTTTAAAATAAAAAATAACTTCAGTATTTGACAGAGCAACAAATGGCAACATCTAAAAACATGAACAAAATCAAAAAATAAATCCTTGTACTCAGAAAATCATGACTGTGATAGTTATAAATCCGTTTCTCTAGTAAGTGCTGCCTGATACAGTATGCAGTCTCTCATATAGTTTTCTGCAGTGTGTATGTATGCACGCATGTGTAAGGAAGGTACATTTGACTTAGACCTTTAACACTGAACTCTGTCCCCAATTTTTATTTGTGAGATAGGGTCATACTAAGTTGTCCAGGCTGGGTTTAGTCTTTGGATTCCCCTGACTCAGCCTCCCAGAGTGCTGGGATTACATGTTTGTGGCACTATGCCCAGTCAGATTTATGTTTTTGAATCAGATTCTCTTTTTTTCCTTTTGTTTGGTTTCGTTTTTGGTGTTGGAACTGGAAGGAAGCCAGGGCCTTGTGCACGTATAGCAGGTACCCTACCACAGAGTTGTATCCCAGGGCTCTTAGGTCATATCTTACAGTATCTGATCATTTTTCTTCAAGGATTTTATCCTGGAACATTACAGTGAAGATGGTTATTTGTATGAAGATGAAATCGCAGATCTGATGGATCTGAGGCAGGTAAGTTTTGTGTGCGGAGCTGGAGGATGGCTGCTGGTCTTTGCCAAGTCCTTGGTATACTTGTGATCCTGGAGAATTGAGGACAGTTGGAGGTGATGGGATGGAATCACCTACTCCACTTGCTGCCTAAGAAAACCATAGAAAGGTAGACACCTGCCTGTCTTTAGGCCCTTGGATCCAGGGGCCCCTGACTTCCTCTCAGGCCGTTTGCGCCCCTCCTGAGTTCATTACATGGGCAGCTGAGCCCACAGAGCTGAGAAACTGAGAGGCACCTGTTCCGTGTGCAGCGCATGGTGGTCAGCGTGTCCTGTCCCGCTCACCCCTCTGCCTGTGTCTTCCCTACAGGCTTGTCGCACACCCAGCCGGGATGAGGCGGGGGTTGAACTGCTGATGGGCTACTTCGTCCAGCTGGGCTTTGTGGAGAGCAGATTCTTCCCGCCCACCTGCCACATGGGGCTCTTGTTTACCTGGTAGGTGCCTGAGGTCTGTGCAGGTGTTTTCCCAGGTCCTGATCTGCCCACATCTATTGCAGGCCCCCCTTCTGCCCTGCAGTGCCCTCTTTCTGCCTTTGGTGTGTATACAACAGTGGGGTGAGGTGTGTCAGCAGGTGGATACTTACGATGGGGATCATAAATAAGGCTCCAACAGAGGGTGGCTGATTGCATTTCAGAACAGAGGAGCCAAGGAGAAGAGTTTCTCTTCGGGGGAGGCTTATTGTGTCAATGGGGAGATACTGGAGCGCTGAAGTTGAACCAGTGGGAAGCAAGAGTCTCCGTCTAGATGGGACAGGGCTGTGGCGTGTGTGTGTGGGATTTGGGTTTTGTGCCAGTGACAAGTACAGCAAACATAGATTTTAAAAACTGAGGCAGAACCTTTGATTCTTTTCCAGAGTTGGTATTTTCAAAGGTTAGTGTAATTTCCATACTTGGAGGTGCCACGCCTCCTATGTGAGAGTGTAGGGGTGTGGGTAGGAGGGAAGGAAATCCTAATCAGAGCTGAGGTGCCTTTCCAGGAATGAGCTTTACTGCAGCAGGTGGACAGCTCCTGATGCTTTCCTTTTGGGAAGGAAATGCAGGGACTTCATGTGGAGACACAGTGCACCCATGCCAGGGACAGGGAAGGTGGCTTCCCTGTCATCTTTGATTAGGAAGATGCTCCCTGCTTGCCTCCTGCGTTAAAGCATGTGTTTAACAATCCTGAGTCTTAAACTTCAGGAAGAATTGCTACATTTCACTTAGGAGAATATATATATGTATGCATTCTTTCTTAAGAGCAGTTACAGGTTCACAGCCAATTGAGCACAAAGCGTAGAGTTCCTATATCCCCCTCTCGCTGTAGATGTTTGTTGCCCTTTACCGCTCACACCCCTGCCACCGAGGTTGGTTTGTCGCAAAGGATGGACACACCTGACACAGCTTTATCACCCAGAGTCCATAGTGTGGTAGGTTTCCTCTGGGTGTGGAATACTGTCTGGGTTTTGATGAGCAAAAGGACACTCCCTTCCCGTCATAGGAATGTGCAGGATGGTTTCACTGCCCTTCAGATCCTCTTTGTCCTTCTCTTCATTTCCTAGCAGCCGCTGATCTTTTCACCATCTCCATAGCGGTGCCTTTTCTAGAACATCACATGATTGGAGTAGACAGTAGATAGCTTTTTTCACTGAGTGGTAACATTGTTTCCTCCGTGCCTTTTCATGGCCTGCCAGCTTGTTTCTTTTTAGTGCTGACTGATATTCCGTAGTCTGGATGTATAGTCTGGATGTATCCGTCTGTTTCTCCATTTACTTGCCGAGGGACATCTTAGTTAAGAGGCCTTTTTTAAATCCCCAGGACTGGGGATTTAACCTAGGGCCATTACACTGAAGTATTTTTTCAATTTTTAATTTTGAGCTAAGGTCTTGCCAAAGTCTCTCAGTTGCCCAGACTGTGATCAAAGTTTTGATCTCCCTGCCTCAGCTTTCCAGAGTGCTGAGATTATAGGTGTGCACCACCATCGCCAGCTGAGAGGCTGTACTTCTGTGTGTGATGGTGGTGAGTCTTTAAATCAGGCTGATCAGACCTCTCATCTTGCTTGGCAACAAGTCTTATTGCATGTGTATCTTTGGATTTTACTTAAGAAATAAATTTTGCCCAAATTCATCTAAAGTGGTGTTAACTAGCCAAGTAGCCCTGTCTTCTCAGAACACACTTCTTTTAAATAGGTATGATTCCCTCACCGGGGTTCCGGTCAGCCAACAGAACCTGCTGCTGGAGAAGGCCAGCATCCTGTTCAACATCGGAGCCCTCTATACCCAGATCGGGACCCGGTGCAATCGGCAGACTCAAGCTGGGCTGGAGAGTGCCATGGACGCCTTCCAGAGAGCTGCAGGTGGGTCCCTGCCGGGGCTGCCTCACACAGCCTGGACCCTGCTAGCGGAGGGTCACAGGTCCTCTGCAGACCCATGCTTGGCCTTGCAAGCCTGAGAGGGCCAGGCCCATTTCCAGCACGGGTGTGACTTCCCGTCCGAGGACTTGCTTGATGGTTCAATTCGTGTGGGCTTGGTCTGGGACGGCTCCTGTACAGTGAGGCGCGTGTGGTGACTGGTTAATCAAACGAGTGGTCCCCAGGATGCCAGGGAAGAGCCATTCCTTTCACTCTACGGAGGGATGGAATAACTTCTCCCGAACTATGAAAAAGTAGGCTTTGGTTTATCTAGTTTTGTTTTTTTTCCGGTACCGGGGATCGAACTCATGACCTTGTGCTTGCCGGGCAGGCGCTGTGCCACAGAGCTAAATCCCCAGCCCCAGGCTTTGGTTTATCTTATCAACGATATATAGTCCCCTTTATCCATGGGGGACGAGTTCCAAGATTCCCGGTAGATATGTGAAACTGTGACAGTACTGGACCATTTATAGAGTATGTTTTCACCTGTACGGACATTCCTATTATGTAGTTTAATTTATGGACTAGACACAGTAAGAAATTGACAACTATAATAATAAAATAGAACAGTTAGAAAAATATGCTGTCATAGAAGGTATTTTTTGGCGGGGGTGGGATGTGGGGAGAGACGGGGTCTCACTGTGTAATTCAGGCTAGTCTTAAGCTCACTATGTAGCCCAGGCTGACCTCGAACTTGCAGTGATTCTCCTGCCTCCTGGGTACTGGGAGTACAGTAGTGCCCCACCACACCCAGCTAAACTTTATGAATTGTTTATTTATTGACTCTACTCTCTCTTTCTTTCTTATTTGGCATTGGGGATTGAAGCAAGGGCTTTCTTACTGAGCAGCATTGCCAGACCTTCCTTTTTTCCTTCCTTCCTTCCTCCCTCCCTTCCTTCCTTCCTTCTTTCCTTCCTTCCTTCCTTCCTTCCTTCCTTCCTTCCTTCCTTCCTTCCTTCCATCTTTTTGAGACAGGGTGTCACTATGCAGTCAGGCTGGCCTTGAGCTCACTTTGTAGCCCAGGCTGGTCTCAAACTTGCAGCGGTCCTCCTGCCTCAGCCTCCCGAGTGCTGGGATTACAGGTGTGCACCACCATGCCTGGCTACCTTCTTTATTTTGAGACAGGATCTCACTAGTTTGCTCAGGTTGGGCTCAAAACTTTGATCCTCCTGCTGCAGCTGCCCAGAGTCCTGGGATTACAAGTGTGCACCGCCATGCCTGGCTTCATTTAATAGTTTTGGACTGAGGCTAACTGAAACCAAGGAAAGTCAGTCCCCTCAGTAAAGGGGACTCCTATGTTACCCTCTGTGCCTTTACCTGATCCTCGTTCTGCCAAGCTTGCTGTTCTCAGCCCTCTGTCTGGTGACATACAGGGACACCTTGGGCTTCTGTCAGCCTCTTCCAGGATTTCTAAATGTCTTTCCCATTTTAACCTCTTTTCCTGAAACTGTTTGCAGTGTGAACCAGATGCAAGGTGGAGGAGAAAGCCAGCTTAGTACCAGCCTGTAGAGAGCGGGGTCACCAGACCCCGTACGGGGAGAGCCTGGCATGCCTAGGGCATCTGAAGGGTCTGCGCTGCTCCCCTCTAGCAGGACCTGCGTCCAGGGCAGACCCAGTGTGGGTATGGTAGGCAAGCGCAGTGACCCCTGGAGCCGGCTCCATAGTCGTCCTGATCTTCCCACTGTCTCCATAGCGTTGCCTTTTCTAGAGCATCACATGGTTGGAGTCAGACAGTAGGTAGCTTTTTTCACTGAGTGATTGCATTTGTTTCTTCCATGCCTTTTCACGGCTTGCCAGCTTGTTTCTTTTTAGTGCCAACTGATACTCCATTGTCGTCTGGATGTACCAGTCTGGATGTACAAGCCTTCCTTTCCACTCTGCTCTGGGATGTCACGACCCCGCCCGTCCTCTCCTCCCACAGAGAGCCTGTCTGGTCCTCACATGGCTCTGCAAGCCTGTGAAGTACTGAAGCCTGGCCACCGAGAAATTTATTTGGTTAAAATGATATCCCTTGGCTGAAAAGATATCTAAGATCCTATCAGGGTGTCCATTTCTTTTTCTTGTTTTGGTTCTTTGAGACAGGGTCTGACTTGTAGCCCAGACTGACTTTGAACTAGAGATCCTCCTGCCTCTCAAGTGCTAGGGCATTCCGTTTCTTCTAGTGGAAAAATTCTGGTTTCATCTTTCTCTCTGCAGAATCTTCCTTTCTGCAGGGACACTTTGTGACCTATCTCCAGAATGTCAAAGGTGGACAGAAGGAAGGTAGAGAGCAGTGGGGAGTGTGGGGGAGCCCCAGGGGAGCAGCCAGCTGGAAGCAAGTGCCATCTTCCTGTGGGGTAGCAAAACCAGAAGAACTGGTTGGTGGAGGTTCATGTGGCAGAATCCGTTTCAGGTGTAACTTGATTATCAGTCAGTGCTCCGGACAGTTAATTTTCTACAGTATGGGAAAGTCAGCCGGGGGCCAAGGCATGAACTTGTCCGTGGAGTGGAGGAGACCTCTTCCTGAAGGCCTGGGGGAAGCCATGTCTCTGAGTGACCCAGGTGTCTCCTGGGCCCCCTCACTCGTTCCACCTGCTTTTGGCTTTCTCCCCCTGTCACAGGCCTGGTTAGGTGGAATTTCTCACATGTCCCAGATGAGACAGGAACAGAGGGGAGCCAGCCGCTTTCCTTGGTTGCTATAGATGTAAATGTTTTAGAAGAGAATGCACATTTTAAAAATTAGGATAAAATATATATCATAAAATTTTACAGTTTTTAATATTATTGTGGCAAAATATATGTAAGAAAAATTGCCATTCATTCATTTGTGGTGCTGGGGATTTCATCCAGGGCCTTTGCACTGAGCAATATCCTCGGCCCTTTTTAATTTAAAAAAAAAAAAATTTTTTTTTTGGTACTGGGAATCGAACCCCGGGCCTCATGCTTGCCAGAGAGGCGCTGTGCTGCGGAGCTACATTCCTGGCCCAATTTTTTTTTTTTAAAATTTTGAGACAGTCTTGCTAGGTTGTCCAGGCTAGGCTTGAACTTGCATTCCTCCTGCTTCATCCCCCTAGCATGGTGGGATCACAGCTGTGCCCCACCACACCCAGCAGTTTTAACCATTTTTAACTGTAGGGTTCAGTGGCTTTACGTACCCATAGCACCACCTCCCACCTGCGCAGAATGCTGTCATCATTCACACCAGAGCACTGTGCCTATTAAACAACAGCTTCCTCTCTCCTTCCCCAGCTCCTGGTAACCTCTGGTCTGCTCTCTGTCTCTGTGAATTTGACTGTTTCAGGTACTTCACTAAGTAGAATAATGTCGTATTCATCCTTTTGTGACCATAATGTCTCCATTCTTGCTGTAGCATGTGTCAGCATTTCATTCCTTTTCTTTTTATTTTCTTTTTGTGGTAGCGGGGATAAAAACCAGGGCCACGCGCATGCTGAGTGCATGCCGTGTCTACCACTGACCTACAGCACCAGCCCTGTACTCCTTTCTAAGGCTGCAGAATATCCCACTGCATGTGTGTGCCAGGCTTACATACTCATCTGTCGATAGGCATTTGATTATTTCTACCTTTGGCTCTTGTGAATAATGCTGTGACTAACAGGAGTGTACAAGTTTCAGTTAAATTCCTGGTTTTTTGTTGTTGTTGTTGTTGTTTTTGTTTTTATCTTTTTGAGACAGGGTCTCGCTATGCAGTTCAGGCTGACCTTGAGCTCACTTTGTAGCCCGGGCTGGTCTCGAACTCGCAGCAATCCTCCTGCCTCAGCCTCCCAAGTGCTGGGATTACAGGCGTGCGGCACCACGCCCGGCTTAAATTCCTGTTTTTAATTCTTTGGGTATATATGTAGGAGTGGAATTGCTGGGTAATATAATATTTCAGAATCACTTTTTAAAAAGATGCTCTGGGATATCCTATACTGTATATTTTTGTTTTGTGGTGTTGGGACTCAAATCTAGGGCCTCACACATGCTGGCCGAGGACTGTACAACTGAGCTACAGTCCCAGCCCCAGCCCCAGCCCCAGCTTCATATTACTTCTGTCTTCTTCAGAGCAGCCTGGTGAAATACATATGATCCTCAACTAATGAACAAAAAAACTTGGAATTGTAGGGGTCTTAAACTACCTGAAGGAGACGTTCACTCATACTCCGAGCTACGACATGAGCCCCGCCATGCTCGGTGTGCTGGTCAGGATGATGCTCGCTCAGGCCCAGGAAAGTATCTTTGAGAAAATCAGCCTCCCTGGGATCCGGAATGAGTTCCTCTTGCTGGTGAAGGTGGCACAGGAGGCTGCCAAGGTAAGGCTTCCTAATTCCCGGGACTTTTAGGAAGGGGTGGGGTCGTGGGCATAGGTATGCTGGAGCAGTAAGGGGGTCCCACGGTGGCAGCTGGCCTGTCACCTGGGCGGTGTGCCCACCCTAGCCAGAGCTGCTGGCTCACATCTTCTTGGCACGTATCAGTGTTTCAGACACGCATCACTGATTCCATCTGTGGCTTAGCCTCAAAACCAGCCTAATGACGGGTGCTTGATCGCCCGGTTAACTCTGACATTGGTAGCACGAAGAATCGGTTGGCACGGTGCCCAGATTCCGGAGGGACCTCCGGCAGGGGCTGCTGCCTGAAAGAAAGGGCTCTTTTTCTGCACCCCCTGTGCTGGGCGTGCTCTTCCCGTGGCCCCTTCTCTTTCAGGTGGGAGAGGTCTACTGGCAGCTGCACACGGCCATGAGCCAGGCGCCCGTGAGAGAGAACATCCCCTACTCCTGGGCCAGCCTGGCCTGCGTGAAGGCCCACCACTATGCGGCCCTGGCCCACTACTTCACCGCCACTCTCCTCATCGACCACCAGTGTAAGGCTCGGGGCTCGGGGGTGGTGGGGAGTTGGTCAGGGTTGTGGGGATTCTGCGGGGAGTGGGAGCTGCCTTCCTGCCCTGGAGGTGCTCACAGCCTGAAGGCAGCGGGTGAGGAGGACATGTTGTCTAGGCAGCTGTCACTTGAGCCAGGCAGAATGGGTTATAGGCTCCTGTGGGGGAGTTTGGTTCTCCCTGGGATCTAGCAAATGAATTTTCACTTGGAATCTGCACTCCACGGGATAACAGAAGCTCAGTACTCAAGACAGGCAACAGTAAAAAAAGAAAGATAAGCAACATTTTAGTGTAGTAGTTTCCTTTTATATTTTTTAGCAGTGCTGGGGATGTACCCCACGCAAGGCAAGTGCTCTCCCACTGCGCTACATCACCAGCCCTGAGGTTGTATTTTAAATAAGTCAAAATTAATGCCCAAAATTTGTGATTACATTTTTAATAAAGACAGGGATACCATAAATAGATCTGTGCAGAGCCCTGTCAGAGATTAAGGCAAACAAGAAATTCACCATGGACTTTTTTTGGATTAATTTTGCTACTGAAAAAATTGCATGGGAGTATTATGTATGTTTATTAAATTCACATTATCCTCTTAAATGCTGATTCCTAGGTAAGTACCTCACTTTCCTCAGCCTAAGGGCTGGCTCTGATCAAGCGGTCAAGTGAGAGTGTTTTTCCATTTTATTATTTTAATTGTCAGAAATACATGTGTCTGTATAATGGGAAGTTATGATTTCTGTTTGGTGGGGCTTGAATCTGGGGCCTCATGCGTGTGGACAAGTGTTGTACCATGAGCTGCAGCTCCAGCCCTTCAGCAGGGGTTTTCGGTATAATCAGTGCTTATCAAGGCAGCCCCCGGCGTGACTGAACGGACAGCCTCTGAAGCCGGCCTGTTCAGGGGTATAGCTCCACTCTGCCACTGTCCAGCTCTGTGAGCTCAGACCATTTGCTTGGCTCCTCTGTGCCCGCTGTCTCATCTGTAAAATGGGGAGAGGAAGAGGAGCTGTAGTGGGAGCTGAGTCCCTGCACGCAAAGCTAAACCATGCCTTGTGTGCTGGAGACTGGGGAGGCGTTAGCTGCTGGTGCTTGCATTGTGTAGTCCCTGAGGCAGGGCAAGATGGGTGAACTGATGGAATTGCAGTGTCCCACGTGCTGTTGAGACACAGACGAGGCAGTGGTTCGTGCAGTCCTAGATGGCTTCCCGGAGGCGGTGACATTTGAGTTTGGCTTTTCTTTTTTTTTTTCTTTGTGATACTGAGGATTAAATCCACGGCCTTTGCACTGAGTTACATAGCCAGCTCTCTATCTTTCTATCTTTCTTTCTTTCTGTCTGTCTGTCTATCTGTCTATCTGAATTTTGAGATGGGGTCTCACTATGAGTTCCTTAAGGTTGGCTTGAACTTGTAGTCCTTCTGCCTGAGCCTCCTAAGGGGCTGTGATGACAGGTGTGTGAACATGCCTGACGAGTTTGGCTTTTCTAGCTGAATGTCAAGGGTGGCAGAGCCTCAGCCCAGAGAGGAGGCCCAGGGTGTGGGGCTGGTGGCCAAAGGCGGGTGGGAAGATGTGCTCCTGGAGGTGGGGTGAAGCAGTGGTGAGGCCTCTTTCTAGCTGTAGGGTCCACCAGAGGTGCGCAGGCCTGCCAGTAGCAGGGCCAGGGCTGTGCTAGGAGGTCCCAGAGGAGGGTAACTTGGAGGAGGTTGTGTATGGGGGCTCAAGGCCAAATTAGGAGTTGGTGTGGCTGGCCCAGCGAGCAAAGGCTGGGGCTGGGTTGTCTGGGCCGAGTCCGTCTCCCCGGACGCCTGGTGGAACCACAGAGGCAAGGAGCCTGGCAGGGTGGCTCCATCTCCGGGGATCTGACCGTGGCTGTCATTGCAGTGAAGCGAGGCGCGGACGAGGACCACCAGGAGCAGTGCCTGTCACAGCTCTACGACCACATGCCAGAGGGGCTGACTCCCCTGGCCACGCTGAAGAATGATCAGCAGCGCCGGCAGCTAGGTGCGTCCTGGAACAGTGCCCGGCGTGCTGCCCAGCAGGACTGGCCTCCAGGGGAGGGCTTGGGGGGGCAGGGCGTCCCACGGTATCATGGTGAGGCGCAGTCCTCTGGCTCAGGGTTCTCAGAGGTGCCCAGGCTGCTCACCGTGGAGGCAGGGCTGTGATCGGCTCCCAGCACTGTGGTGGCCCACGGGTGGCCCTTCGTCATCCTGCTGCATAAGGATGTGGTTGGTTTTCTTACGCTTCAGCAAGAGCAAGTAAAGGCGGTAATGGCTTGGCCTGTGCCATGTGTCCCTGGGAATCCCTTGCCACCGCACCCCCCTTCACCCCACCTTGGGGTCAGTGGCTCCACCCTCCAGTGCTTTGGCCGGCACCATTGGACTCACTCTGCATCCTTGTCTGTCTTTCTCACCCACATTCGGTCAGCAGACTCCATCGGTCCTACCTAGAAAACCATCCTAAACCCAATCACTGCTTACCCTTACACTCTGTCTTTTGAGATAGTGTCTCGCTGTGCAGCTCAGGCTGGCCTTGAGCTCACTTTGTAGCCCAGCCTGGCCTTGAACTCACAACGATCCTCCTGCCTCAGCCTCCCGAGTACTGGGATTACAGGTGTGCGCCACCACGCGCGGCATACTCTTCCACTTTGGTCAAAGCCACACATACAGTATTTACTTGACAAACACCCCCTACACACACACACACACACACACACACAACCCTCTGAGACAGGTTTGGGGATCCCTTTTTTAGGGGGGTACCAGGAACCAAACTCAGGACCTTGCACTCTCCAGGCAGGCACTGTGCCATTGAGCTGTATCCCCAGGCAAGGGGATCCCCATTTTATCATGGAAGAAACAGAGGCTCAAGGCCTGGAGTGGCCATGCAGCCTGCCCTGCTCATAGCTGGTGCCCATTTCTCTCTGCTCCTCCACAGCCTGGTCGTTTTAGTCCAGTGCTCATACTCAGAGGGGTTAGGAGTGAGCAGGTCTTTATCCTGAGTGTAAGGTCAGGCACGATCTGGCCCTTGCTCCTCTCTGACTTCGTTCCCTAACATTCACTCCCTCCTGCCATACCTACCCCCAATTCCTGGTGGCCTTGAAAACCTGCGCATGCTCCTGGCCCAGGGCCTTTGCATGTGCTGTACCCTGTTTCAGACATGCTCTTCTCTTAGATATCTTCATGGCTGTTCTTTCCTTTGCTTTAGGGCTCTGCTCAAAAGTTACCTATCACATAAAAAAAAAAGCCCAGAAAAGAATAAAAAATAAAATCAAAGAAGTTACTTTATTAAAAAATCCCTTATCTATTCTCATGGATTAGCTTCTATTCCCAGTCTGTTTGCACACCTGCCAACTCTGCTTTATTTGTTCCTCTATGACCTTGTCATCACACGATCCCCTACATACTTCTTTGCCTATTAACTATCTGTCTCCATCCAGTAAGGTATAACTCCATGACCTTGGGGGCAGCTTTTGGTCATGACTTAGCCGTGGTACCTGCAACATTCTGTGAACGTTTGTTGAGTGAATGTTTAATAGACACAAGTGAGCATGCCTCTCAGAGTGTCCTCGGCTGTCCTGGCAGATCCTGTGGAAAGCACAGTGTCCAGCTTCTCGGGCTGGCCATCGGACCCTGTGGTGCTCTGCATGTAGTCACGTGCCGCGTGGGTGGCGGTCTTCTTCCCGCAGGAAAGCGCCACCTGCACAGAGCGCTCACGCACCACGAAGAGTCGCTGAGGGAGGCCAGCCTGTGCAAGAAGCTGCGCGGCATCCAGGTGCTCCAGGAGGTGCTGTCGGCCGCGCACCAGCGCACGAGGCTCAAGCACACCCAGCACCAGGAGGATGACGACCTTCTGGACTTGACCGAGGCGCCCAACATTGTCTGTGAGTGGCCGCGACCCAGGCCCTGTGTGTGTCTGGCGTGCCCCTCTCTGGAGGCGGGCCCCGCTGTTCACGCTGGGCGTGCTCATCCTGCGGGGCTGCGCGGGAGGGACCGAGCGCCTCCCCTGCCCTGGCCTTTCTGTCTCCAGATCCCCAGGGCAGGGGCTTCCGCGCCGTGACGCCTTTGCAGCCCCTGCCCCTCTCCTGCCCCGGCCGCTCCTCCCCGAGTGTCCGGCGCCTGCCACCTTGCCGCGTGGGCCCTCGTTCGCCGTCCCCTCAGCTGACTGCACCTCTGCCTGGTCCTCCCCATCCGTCTGCTTTCCCTGGCTTCTGTTCTTTAGGGCCTTTTCTATAGGGTCTCAGCTACCGCTGTCACCAGGGGACCCCCCCTCCCCAACACTCTCCGCGCATGCGCGCTGAGGCTCTGGGCCATTGTCTTCCCAATGCCACTGTCTTCCCGGAAACCGCACGCTGTGCTGCTTCCCGCTCCGAGGAGACCCTCGTGCCGCCCCGCCCGGCTTGCTCCTGACCCTGACCTCTCCAGCTTCTGTCACCACCACCGGCTCTCAGCAACTCCCGGGTCTGGGCACCCTGGTGGTTCAGGAATGTTGAACGGGGCAGTCCTTGCTGCCCTTGGGTTGTGGCAGTCACTTGCCTGCGAGGGCTCAAGTGCGAGCAGTGGCTTTCTAGTGAGGGAGGGCAGGGATCAGGGTCCCCTTGGTCCGTTACCTCTGAGGACATAGAGGAAAAACCAGCTCAGGCCCCATTTCCCCCATTGTACGCTCACCAGACAGATTACACCTGACAGCAGCTGAGGGGTGGCTCTCCCACACCAGCCAGGGAGCAGTTCCTCAGCTGACGCCTGAGCGGGCTCTCCGGCCCAGTTCAGTACCCGCACTGTGCACCCAGAGGTGGTGTCATGGCCAGGCTGAGGGCCCAGTTTCCTGGATTCCCCGCTCCCTGGGGATCCGTCCTAGGGCTTCCTTGCAAGGCCAGGCCTCTCCCACTGAACCGCACCCCAGTGGAAGGCACCCGGTGGTGGTTTGAGCGCAGCATTGTGTTGTGGATTTGTGGAGGCCCTGGGGCCCCTCCTGGACAGAAGGGTGTGATCGCCTTGGTGATGCTCACCCTCCTGAGGTCTTATTTTCATACTGTTTGTGAGTAGTTAGCCTGCTCTGGGATCCTTTGCTCAAAACCATCAGCCTTGTGCTGTGAGTGGGCCCAAGCCTGCCATGAATGTTCTGGAAGAAGATGGGGCACTGTGGATAGCTGGGACTGGGCAGAGTCCCTGCTCACTGTGAAATGCGCACATCACTCATTAATAATGAAAGCGGGAAGCCTGTTGTCTGGTCCAGGGCTGTGTACTGAGCTGCATCTAAATCAGGTCACTTCTCAGTAGAGTGAGACAGTGGAACTTCACCGGAAGAGCAGTAGGCTCCATGGAGGAGACACCAACTGTGTCTGGTTGTCACTGCTCTGTCCCAGCCCCAAACGGTATGGCTCATAGGTGGTGCCCCAGTGGAAGGCACAGTGACCCTGGCCCGGGGCTGAGCAGGGCCCAACCTTTCGTACCACCGTCCCAACCAGGGTGAGTGACACATGGCCAGGAGGAGGCATTGGTTTGTTTTCTGTTTGAAGAGAAGTCTGAAGACCTGCATTTTAAACGCTCGCTTTCCATTACAGGAACATTTATCCGTTCATTTTTAATCTTCTTCTCTAGCTAAAACTGAACAAGAGGCTCAAATGATATTGCCCCAGTTCTCCAAAGTGACAGTAACGGACTTCTTCCAGAAGCTGGTATGTTGAACACCTGTTTCATAAGTGACCTAAGGGAACGGCTTTTCTATTGTCCAGGTATACTGTCTTAGTCTGTCCACACTGCTATAAGAGTACCGTAAACCAAGTGGCTTTTACACAACAGAAACTTCAGTCTCAGTTCTGCCACCTGAGAGGTTCCAGGTCAAGTCCCCAGCAGATTCAGGGTCTGGCGAGGGCCTGCTTTGTGGCTCGCAGATGGTGCCTTCCCACTGCGTCCTCCGCTGGAAGAGACGAGTGGACGCACTGAGCCTGCTTATCCGAGCATGAGTCCCATACGAGGGCTGCACTTCATGACCTGCCCACCCCCCAGAAGGCCCGATCCTAGTGATCACATTGCTGTCAACACAGAATTTGAGAGCGACAAAAACTTTCAGACCACAGTGTATTTTAAAAGCTCTATATTTAGATGTTTTGAATTTTTTATGTTAAAGGTTTTATTGAAGGTTTGGTTTTGTTTGTTGTTTTTGAGCCAGGGTCTCACTATATATTCCTGGCTGGCCTTGAACTCAAAATCCTCTTGCCTCAGCCTCTTGAGTGCCAGGATGACAGACTTGTACCACTGCACTTGGCTTAAGATAATTTTAATTGAGATAATTTCTGGGAGATGATATTATTTTAAATATATTGGACATGCTTGAGAAAATGACAGTTAGTATTGTTGTGTAACTGTGGTAGCTCCTATTGCTCCAGATGGTATTTGTAGCCTCTGAAGGAGGCCAAAGGAGGTCTTCAGGACAACAGGCAATGTTCCCCTTTAGTCTCCATGTGTCTGGTTCAGAACCAGGCACAGGGTACTTGCAGCTCCAGCTGTTCAGGAGACTGAGGCAGGAAGATCCCTTCAGCTCACTACTTTCAGACCAGCCTGTGCAACATAACATAGCGTGACTCCTGTCTCAAAAAAAAAGTCTAATTTAGCCTTCAAACTCTCAACCTAATGATGCTGTCTTCCAAAGGGGCCCCTGTCGGTGTTCTCGGCTAATAAGAGGTGGACGCCTCCTCGAAGCATTCACTTCACCGTAGAGGAAGGGGATCTGGGGTTCACCTTGCGAGGCAATGCCCCTGTTCAAGTCCACTTTCTGGATCCTTCCTGTTCTGCTGCGGTAAGCCTGCCATTCTCCAGCTGGGGGAAACAAAGCAAGTGGCCCAGACACCTACCTGGGTGATGGAGTTTAGTGCTCACCTGTGTCAAAGGCCTGACTTTTGATGCCAAAGGGTGCTTCTGGGTGCTCCATGCCCAAAGAGGGGAGAATGAATGTTTTCCCTCTCTTAAAGCAAACTTACGCACGTGTCTACTGGGAACTGACTTGGAATTAAATGTGCAAAACGCTGACGTTTATGTAAACTATATTTCTGTAGCTGGCAGGAGCCAAGGAGGGAGATTATATCGTTTCCATTCGAGGCGTGGATTGTAAGTGGCTGACAGTGAGCGAGGTTATGAAGCTGCTGAAGAGCTTCGGTGGGGAGGAGATCGAGATGAAGGTCGTGAGCCTCCTGGATTCCACGTCGTCCATGGTGAGCAGAGGCCGCCAGTGGTGAAGGTGGGGTGGAGGGGGATTTCGGAGGGCTCAGCCTGGAGGCCTCACCCAGCCTCCCGCCTTCCGCCTGCACAGCATGGCTTGCACGGCTCGGCTCTCCGGAGTCCTCCCTGGGATGTGCCCACCTGGGGCAGAGGGGTCATTTGACAACTTTAAAAGTTTTAATCCTGTAGGTAAAATAATCAGTGGATTTGTTTTTCTGATTAAATTCTCTTTAATTACAGAAGTAACACGTGTTTAAAAAATGTGCACGTGGTACAGAGGAGGTTAAGACAGCAAGTGAAAGTCCCCTCCATACTCAGAGGCAGCATTAACCATTTCCTGGGAGACCTCGGGAATTATTTGATCCTTCTCCAGGTTCATGTGTACAGTCAGAGCCTTTAACTTTTCCAGTGGAGAGAATCACGTCTCAGATTCTCCTGCACTTTGCTACACTTAGCAATGTACTTTAACTGGCCCTCTGTTACAACATTTATTCATTCAGCAAATACTGATTGTCCGCTGTGTGCTTTGTTAGTGTTTTTGTTACTCCAGTGAATTTCTTAAGGGAGGCTGCTTATGAACACAGGCTAAACCAGGCGTGGTGGTGCCTACCTGTAATGCCACACTTGGGAGGCTGAGGCAGGAGGATCACTGTGAGTTTGAGGCCAGCTTGGGCTATACCACGAGATCGTATCTCAAAGCACACCCACTCCCCTCCAAAAAATAGAAAAAGGAGTTTACTTAGCTCACAGTTTTGGAGGCTGAAAGTCCAGGATTGGGCAGCTCTGTTGACCTGGCCTCTAGTGAAGGCCTAACGGCAATGGCAGCCTGCTGGGAGCAGGTGCAGAAGGGAGAGGTCACATCCCAAAGCAGGAGGTCCCACTGTTCCAGGAGGCTGAGCCCGGAGGATCATAATTTTGAGCCTAGCTTGGGCAGCTTAGAGAGACCCTGTCTCAAAATAAAAAATAAAAAGGAATGGGGATGTAGCTCAGTGTGAAGGTCTTGGGTTTAGTCGCTAGTACTGGAAAAGAAAAAAGAAAAGAAAAGGGGGAAGGGGAGGGGAGAGAAGAGGGAAGGGGATGGAAGGGGGGAAGGGAGGAGAGGAAAAAAAGAAAAATCCCAAACAAACCCCCAAACAGGAAGCCAGAGCCACCTGAGTCCATCGTCTTAGGGGATGCCCCCAGGTGACCCAGGGGCCTCCTACTGGGCTCCATCTCTTAAAGATCTCCCCTCCAGCAGTGCCACACTCAGCACCAAGCTGGTAGTATGTGAGCCTTAGGGGGACAAACCACATCCACTCACAGCACCCATGCCAGGCACTGGTAGGCATTGAAGCTTCAGCTCCAAGTGGACAGAAGGTCCCTGTCGCCAGGAATGGTGCACTAAACAAGCAAGTCCACGGCTGTGATTTAGATAAGTGCTATAGGAAAAGAAAACACGGAATGTGGTCTAAGGTCTAGGCTGGGGAGAGGCTCCTAGACCAGGCTGGAACCAACCTGAGTGCTGAGAAGGGCGAGCCCTGGAGGGGACACAGCGTGCGAGGTGTGGGGTGGGAGGCAGGTGCAGAGGCCTTGCCGCAGGGAGGAGCTGCTCCTGCCAGCACCAGTAGGCCTTTCAGCATCAGTGGCAGAGCTGTGACGGCCGGTGCTGTGACTGGAGTGTGCAGAGGGAGGTAGGAAGGGCGGGTGTGGAAGGCATTGACCCCTCAGAAGGGCTGTGATGCATGCGATGCGATGCAGCGTTTACTTTGGAAGGTGTTTGCTATGGGAACTTGGTCAGGGCAGCTGTCTGGGCCTGCAGCGTCAGCGGCTCAGGCTGAGGGGTGGCCGTGGCGAGGAGGCAGGAGGAAGCACCTGAGATGTAGTCTGGAGGTGGAGGGGAGAGGGATCTGTGGGTGCTTTCAGTACAGATGGAGGGTGGGGAGGGGATGCCTTGGATTCTGGCTTCAGCAACTGTGTGAGCAGGGTTTTTTCATCACGAGGGGAGACAGGGCTGTGGGGCGTGGAGGAGACAGAAAGCAGGAGCGAGGCTTTGAATGTTTCAGGTGCTGCTGGCCATCAGATGTGAAAGGTAGGCAGTTGGGAGAAGTCAGAGCTGGAAATAAATGTATGAGAGTCATCAACATAGAGGTGGTATTTACAGCTGTGAGATCAGATGAGATTGCCTGAGGGGTGTGGGCCAAACCTTGAGACAACCCGAGCATTTAGATGTCATTTACAGGAGAAGGGGAGCACAGGAACCGAGAAAGAGGATTCAGGGAGGGAGGCTAGAAGGAGCTTCTGGAGTCAAGAAAATCCACCAGGTGTGGTGGCGTGTGTGTGTAATCACAGCAGCCTGGGAGGCTGAGGCAGGAGGATGACAAGTTCTAGCCAAACCTGTGCAGTTCAGCAACTTGGTGAGCCCTGTTTCAAAATTAAAAAATAAAAAGGGCTAGGGATGTGGCTCCATATGAAGGCCTTGGGTTCAGTCCCCAATACCAGAAAAAGAGAGCAAAGAAAATCTTGCAGCGGGGAGTGACCAGTTGTATTGAATTAAGAGGTGGTGAGTTGTGTTTATTACGTCTGGCAGCACGACCAGCTGACAGTTTTTGTGGAGAAATGACAATGAGAGTCAGGTTGGGGAGGGCTGGTGCATGAAGGGATTGTATAGTTCCACTGATAGAAAATGTCCAGAGTGGGCACATCTGTGGAGTCAATAGTAGGTGAGCGGTTACCAGGGGCTGGGGTGGGGAGAGAGGGAGCGGAATCCAGGCGCGAGAGGCCCAGACCCCTGGGACAGATGCAAGAGGTGTAAGGCAGGGGTGTCAGGAGGATGGGTGAGGGCCTGGGGAGGGAAGAGAGAGGGTACGAGACTGGTATCCAGGAGGAAAGGATTGATAGGACTAGATAGGAATGCCAGGGGACAGGGTGCCTATGCAGAGGTGTGGGGTCAGCATTAGGATTTTCTTTTCAAGTTTTCATTTTATTGGTACATGTGTGCAATCCATAATGATTCCCTTCATCTGGGAGTTGGTCCATGTGCATAACACGTCTTCGTTCTTTGGACATCCCCTTCCCTTCCTTCCATGAACATTAGAATTTCAAGGAAAGCCTTCTGCTTGATAATTACCCTTGAAATGTGCAACTGCTTGCAAGGAGAGGCAGAGGGTGGAGTTTAACTGGAGCTGACATACGTGTTTATAAGGAGTGGTTCTAGGTGCAGGTTGGACTCTTAGGCAGGTTAAGGGTAGAAAATGTTTGCAGCCTTAAATCTGCCTCCAGGATCATTACCTTATTTTTTGATAGCATGTGTCCTGGAAAGCATGATGCAATTGCCTGGCAAGCACAAGGTGCTGAGTTCAATTCCTGGTACCAGTAAATAAATAAATAAAATAGAGGGAATACCTCTCCTTTGTTGGGACCTTATTCTAGGTCTTCCTAAGGTTTATATTGTGAATATACTTGACCACTGTAGATATGTGGTGTATGGTAAATGTTTAAATTTTTAAAATGTGTTACAGTAAAAGATACATTGCTATCAATTCCCCTCAAAGTACTCCCCCTCGCTTTGAACGTACGTATTCTGCGGTTCTTACCACTTTCTAAGCAGTTCTGGAAGTCCTCTTTCATGGACATCTTTGTGCTGTTGTGGCTGCCTTGATGTCCTGAATTGATTTAAAATGTTTGCCTTTCATGGACATTTTGAGTTTGGGGAAAAGCTGGAAGTCCCATGCTATCAGATCTGTTGGATCAGGTGGACAAGGACACAGGGTAGTGTTTTCGCCAGCCTGCCTTCCCTTCGCATGGCAGCTGCAGTCACTGTGTTATGGTTTGTGTCTGGATGTCTCCCAAAGCCTCATGCAGTCATGGGGCAGGCTTGTAGAGTTTATGACTGATTCATGATCTAATGTTGGGTCTATGGGTGTGAGTGCTACACCTGCCCTGGGGCGGGTAGTTTGCATACAGTGTAAGAGAGGGAAAGAGGCTGCTTGCTGCTGCTCCTCCCTTTTTGCTCTTCTGCTTTTGCTGTCTTCTGTTTTTTTTTTTTTTGGTTTTTCTCCGGTACCGGGAACCGAACTCACGACCTTGCGCTTGCCAGGCAGGCGCTTTGCCGCTGAGCTAAATCCCCAGCCCTTTTGCTGTCTTCTGTTGCCATGAACTATTGCCCTCTGCCATGTGCCACTCTGCCTTGGAGCCAGCCCAGTATGGACTGAAACCTCCACAAACTGTGAGCTACATAAACCTTTCCTTCCTTAATTTTGGGCATTGGGTATTTGGTCTCAGCAACAAGAGAAAAGTAACCAAGACACACTGTATTTTATGATACTTTATAAAGACACCCACAAAAGAGGACTGCTAGAATTGCTTCAGAAAGTGGCAAGAATAATGAGACGAATGTGTTTGAAGCAAGGGGGCAGTATTTTGAAGGGAATGGTGCCAATTAATGAACTACAGTGTTGTTTAGTAAATTTTTAAAAATTTAAACATTCACTGTATGTTATGATCCCACCTCCTACATTGGTACATTTCTCTAAGTGGCCTAATTTAGTGCCTGGAACATAGTGAATGGCCAGTAAACAATGAGTGAACAAAACCTCAATGTTAGGCCAGCCTTAGAGGCAGGTGATTTACAAAGCAGTTTTCTTAGATTTCTTTCTTGAAGCTTACATACATAAGTTTTTCAAAGATAATAGTGTATAGAGTTTCAGTTGAGGAAATTTTTAAAAGTTCTGGAGATGGATGGTGATGATAGTTATAGAACAGTGTAAACATTTATTAAAACTGAACTGCACATTTAGTTAAACTGTAAACCACTACAGTATTTTAAAGGGGGAAAAATTAATAGCAGTATCTTCATGGATTCTGTATTGTCTTTAAAGAGAGTGAAGTTGATCTATACCTATTAGCATGGATTGAAATCAGAGTTTTGCTAAATGAAGAAAGCAAAGTGTAGAAAATGTGTGTGATACGTTCCTTTGAAGAAGACAAAAGGTAGCCAGGTGGTGGCACATGCCTGTAATCTCAGCATGAGAGTCTGAGGCAGAAGGATCACAAGTTCAAGCCCAGCCTGGGCAATTCAGTGAGATCCTGTCTCAAAATAAAAATATTTTTAAAAGAGCTGGGTGTGTAGCTCAGTGCAAAGACCCCAAGTTCAATCCCCAGCACTCCCCATCCCCAGACAAATGGTAAAGTATACTCATGCACAAATACAAATGCTTTTATTTGCACATTATCTCTAGAAGTATAACACAGTGGTTACCTTAGAGGAAGTGCCTGGAAGCCAGAGTGAGAGAGACCTGCTGTGCATTATATTTTCGTTTTTTGATTACTGCTATATATTTCTCAAAACAGTCAGAACCTTAAAAAGTGAGTAGTTGTTCTGAAGCCTGAACCACTGCTACTGAATATGTTCCTTAAAAATCATCCCTGCTAAGCTGGGTGTGGTGAGGCAGGAGGATTGCCTCGAGTTTGAGGTCAGCTGAAATACATAGCAAGACCCTGTCTCAAAAAAAAAAAAAATTGTCCTTGCTTTGAAGAGCCTAATTCAGTATAAGTATTGGTCACCTGGGAGCTAGAATGGTATCCTCTTAATTAAGAGGCTGCTATAGATGTAGAATGTGAGTCTCAAGCTGTGTAATCACTCATGAGGCATCTTGAAGATGTTTAACCTTTCTTCTTCTTTCTCTCTGTGCAGCTTAGTAAGTGTGCCACGTACTCTGTGGGAATGCAGAAAACTTACTCCATGATCTGCTTAGCCATAGATGATGATGATAAAACTGATAAAACCAAGAAAATCTCGAAAAAGCTTTCATTCTTGAGTTGGGGCACCAATAAGAACCGCCGGAAATCAGCTAGCACCTTGTGCCTCCCGGCAGTCGGGGTGTCAAGGCCTCACGTCAAGAAGAAGCTCCCGACTCCTTTCAGCCTGCTGAGCTCTGACAGCTCTCTGTACTGACCGGGGGAAGCGGAAACGGCCACTTTCAGGGTTCACCGGGCCTTAACATTTGTGCCATAATGTGGAGTATCAATATGTTCAGATCCCATTTTCTCACATGTATGTGATGTGCTTTTATGAAAGTAACAGAAGCTTCTTGACGTTGTTGGGAAACACATGTACTTGAGGAGTGTCACGATATTGCTGCAAGTTATTTATTCTGTAAAGTATTGTACATAGAGTAGTGTTGAAAGTATGTCTGTTTTTAATGGTTACAGTGACCACTTTTAAGTACTCCGAGTTAAACTGTGGTTACCTGCATTAGTACTGTTTGTTAACTGTCCTGGTTTGGGTAATAATCTTTCCTTAACCTAGAATTCAGATGACCCTTGAATTAGGGCAGGTCAGAGGACTATAATGATAGAATGAGATTTCTGTTCCTCATAACTGTTCTAAAGAGCTGCTGCTTCATGGAATTCATTAACTTAAAATAAGATTTTGCCATTATTTCTACATAATATGAATGCTGTTTCCAAGTAAAGTCTAGTGCCAAATTTGTCTTGAATTTTTTTTTCTTTAAGATTTTTTGGCAGTGCTAAAAAAAAAAAAAGTACTACCAAAAAATAAAAATAAAATTTAGGAGCAGCTCTTCCTCCAATTTGATGCCATTTATAAGTTGCTAACACAGTGGCAGTGTTAGATGGAGATGCTGTCTACAGGGTAGATAATATACTGTTTGATACTCAAAACATTTTCATTTTGTTTAAAGTAGAAAGTACATATTATAAGAGTCTTGGGTAAAAAGGTAGCTTTACATTTTATACGGTGAAGATGTAAATGATTCAAGTTTAAAGCTCTATTTGACTTCTTAAAATGAACCTTACCAGTTTGATTTCTTTGGTTACAAGTTGGATGACACCATTGCTCTAATAAGATTCATGGTTGACACAGTAAAAGTGACGTAGCTTAAAAATACAGCATTGAAATCTAATTTTGAGAATTAACAAGAATTTTATATTGTGCAATATCTTAAGGGAAGCAACCAGCTTTGGGAAAGTGTATCTATCCACTGCTTATAGGGCTGTGTTTGTATAAATATTTAAATAAACATACTTATCTGACTTGGCGTTTATGTCACTTTCATTCCATCTTTCCAATAAGTATCATCCTAATGCACAAAATGTTTTTATTGTTGATTTTTAATCATTAAAATAAATGAGCTCTTCAAGTTAGTATTTTTTAAAATGTGGCATTTTTAGTGTATTTTTTTCCTTATAGTTTGTCTTTTACAATTAAGTTTATTGGTACAATTTAGATATGCATAATGAATCACATTCATCAGTGGGAACTTGTACCTGTGCGTGATCTATCTTGATTCTTTGCTTTTGTCCCCGTTCCCCTCCCCTCCTTTCAACCCTGCTTCCCCGTCTTATTGTAGTGTGTGTATTTTTTCAAGGGACATTTATACCCTTTAAGCCCCAGCCCCTGGCTCCCCTCATTGCAGAACCCTCTACTGTTTTCTGGTGTGTCTTATTATTGATCCACACATACACAAGCACCTTCTTTGTCCCACACATTTCATCTTTATACGGGGAATTTCAGATCCTAGGCTTTCTGTGTTCAGAAGACACACCCTGTAGTTATAAGCAGACTGTGTGGCTGTCACTTCCCTCCAAAAAAACAGGAAGGCAGGAGTGAAGGCACAAAGGAAGGGACTGTTATACATTTGCTTATTTACCTTGGCAGCAGCCCTCAGAGCACAGCATATGCAGACCAGACCTGAAGAGCAACAGCTCTGCCACCAGGAACGAGGGCCTTAGCGTACACAGTGCTTCACTGTAGGTTATTTCCTGTAGATGGCTGCGTCCGGCACCTGAACTTTACAAGACCTTCCCATGGCAGACGCAGGTCAAGGTCACTCCCAAAACCTGCCTTAACTGGATGTTTGCTCAGAATGACAGTCTCAGCAAAGGCTATGAGGCCATGGGCCTTTTCATCGTGGCAGAATGAGGGCAGTGTCGCCTTCGGCCACGAACTTAAATGCCCAAACCTAGAGAGCAAAGCAGTACCGTTCAGTCTCCATTGGGCCTCTCCTTGGGTTTCACAAGATGCTGTGAAAGGAAATTTTTTCTTCTTTTTTAAATATGAAGAACAGATCTTACAGTTCGTGATTGAAAAGAGAAAATGTTACAGACGTGAGGCCAGCAGTCACTTGGACTGGGTGAAGAAGGCATGGATTTGCTGTGCTACTGCCTGTCCAACAACCGGCTCGAGTTCTTGGATGGAAGCGTTACTCAGTTGCTGGATACTTGGAAACTTCTGGAGTAGAAGAGAAGCTTTAACTTTCCCAACTCCTGGGATCTGCTGCACAGTTCGAAGAAGAAATGGCTCAGAGAGCACAGCTCTTTTCTTCCTGAGGAAAGGGTTCTTACTGGGCTCTCTGGTTTGCTCTTGAACCTGAATGGGAAATGAAAAAGCACATAAGCGCCCCCTAGAGGACTGGCAGTTTTCTTAAAATGGAGTTTTCATTTGATTGGGCTTGACTTATGGGTTCCAATGTTTTCAAATGCCGTGAATAGAGCCGGCTGTGGTGGTGCATGCCTATAATCCCAGCACTCAAGAGGCTGAGGCAGGAGGATCATTGCAAGTTGGAGGCCAACTTGGGCTACAAAGTGAGCTCAAGGTCAGCCTGAAATGCATAGGGAACCCTGTCTCAAAAAGACAAAAAATAAAAAATAAATAAACAAATGCCGTGAATGTAAATCTGTAGACATCAGCAAAATAACTGAATGTTAAAAAATTATTGCAGTTGCCTTTAATACCCCCCAAAACACTTCCTCTTGTTTCAAACACATAGCCCATTGTTCTTCCCACTTTCTGAAGCAGTTCGGCAAGTCCTCTTCTGAGACTATTTTTAGTTGGACTGTCATAGCTGTCTCAATGTCCTGAATTAATTCAAAATGTTACTCTTTCATGGTCATTTTGACTTTGAGGATGAGCCAGAAGTCACACAACACCAGATCCAGTGAATAAATCAAACAAGGACACACCATAAAGTTTTTATTTAACAGAAACTGCCATAAATGTTTTGAATTGATTGAAGACACTGAGGCAGCCATGAAGATATACTCACAAAAGAGGACTTCCAGAACTACTTCAGAAAGTGGCAAAAATGGTAGAACAAGTGTGTTTGAAGCAAGGTGGTATATTTTGAGGAGTTGAGAGCAATGTCTTTTCCTTAGGATCTCATTATGTCTGTGTCTTTCACTGTGGTAATTTTTAACATTTTTAATTTAAACATTCACACACAATATCTAAATGAGATCTGCATCCTCAGGACCCATGGGAAGCTTGCCTATCAAAGGAGAAACCCACTCCAGTCTGGCAGTTACACCAAGGCAGAGAGTAGCACTATCTCATAAGAAGTTAGGAATAATGAAGCAAAGGATGCAGTAGAGAGGAATCTGTGAACCTCACAGGGTTGCTTGTATTTCCAATTTAGTTCTTAACCCAAGCTGCACATCACAGAGGGGCTATAAAAATGGATGCTCAGGCCCTATCTTCACGTTCTGATTTTCAGCTGGTCAGAGGTATACCTCATGCATCTGTGTGTGTGTGTGTGTGTGTGTGTGTGTGTGTGTGGTGCTAGGGATCAACTCCAGGCTTTCGTAGATGCTAGACAAGAGCTCTACCACTGAGCTGCCCTACCAGCCCTGTCACTTTATTTAAAAGTTCACCAGCATAACTGAGATAATGGGAGTTATCAAGCCTGGGTGTCTAAAATCAAAATCTTCAACTTGTTCACTTAGACACGTGCCTGGAGTGAGTGGCAGGCTCAGCTGGCTTCCTGAACTTAAATTTCTCAAAAAGGTTTGGTAAAGCAACACGGAATGACCTAGACTGGTGTCATGGATTGCAACTATAGCTAGAGTAAAATGAGTCGAGAATGTGCAGGCGGACAGGGCTACGGTGAAAGGAGGAATCCATACTTACCAACTGGACAATGAGGCAGGATGCTTCAGTCTGGTTGGCCACTGGAAGCAACACCATCCCGAGGTCCAGCACGGTAAACTTCTGTATGGCTGGGAAGTATTGTTCACTCATCTGTGTTTTTTCAACTACTACAATCCCTTGAAGGTGACTAGACTTCAAAGAAAAACGTAAACCATTTGGTAACATTTCCTTTGAGAATTAAGAAAGTCTATCACGTTATCAGTGGTCTCCATCATTGGCTTGGAATGACCAATGGTACTGCAGAGTTTATTCCAAGGGACAGGGTGGGGGAGGATACAAATCAATATTCAATTTCAGTTTCTTTAATTCACTACTTACATTTCTAACCCGAACAAGTCTCTTTCTGTAGCCGTTTCCTGCCACTAAATCAGCTTCGGTGATATAGAGAATGCAAGATCTGCTGGACAGGTAAAAATCTACCCCTGTCAGGCCATCTTCAAAAACGAGTTTAATTTTTCCTTAAAATACAACAAAACGAGTTCGGTGAACTTTGGTTCATGGTATGGTTTGAGAAAAGCGCTTGGCGATGGAAAGCCCAACCCACCGACCTTGCATCTCTCGCGCCAGCTGCGACCCATGCCATTTCTCATTGGCCACAACGTGCCCAAAAGGCACGTGCACGGGGCCCGTACTGTCAGCGGGGTTCGCGTCCATCGGTGGTCTCGACCTAACGTGGGAAATGCAAGATAACATTTGAGCAGGATCTACTCCACATGGCCCCACAGTGCACTCGGAGCCCGACCCCCTTTGGGAAGATTCCAGCTACACGGGTGGTCGGTGAAAGACTGAATAATTTGTCAGTCTAAGAACCAGGAGACCTGGTGGCCGCGTCCCTCGTTTTCGGCACCTGCCCGGCCCCTGATGTCCCAGCTAGGTCCGCACCCTGGCTCATTAGTCCAGTCCAGGATCCTGGCCCAGAGAGCAGGGGACCACGCCTCAGCCCCAGTCCGGAGACTCGGAGAACAAACCTGAGCCAGCACCACTTCCGGGTTCCCTTCGATTGAGCCTGCCCTGTTTTTCATCCTGCCCGCCCTCCACCTCCCACAGCGTCGGATAGGCTGTGGTGTCTGTGATTGATACCTGACCTGACCAATAAAAGGACAGACAGCTCAGACCGTTTCCGCACTGGTGGAGATTTGAATGAGACCAGCTAGTTGTTAAGAGCGACGGGTGTGGAAATAAACTTAGCTCTGATTGGTCAAGAACAAAACATAGCCAGTGGCGGGCGTGGTTGTTGTGGAGTTTCCTTGGGAAGAAAAAGCGTCTGGAGTTCGTCCAGTGGCAGTAGAACCGGCTCTAGGGAGCTGTCCCTGGCTCGGGATATAGCTACTCGTAAATACAGCCTTTGGCCTGGCCATCCCCCACAGCAGGGATGCTGCTGGGATTTCAGAGAGGACGCAAGAGCCAATTCGTAAGTACACTCCCGTCTTGCTCGTTTCCCCCCATGGGGCCGGGAGTTAAAAGGTGAGATTTTGGGGCGCATTTGGGGTTTGGCCTGGGGTTAAGGTAAGGCGGCGGCACCAGAGGAAGTGGTTTTCAACTCGAAAAGCTCTGATTTTTAGCTGGGCATGGTGGTACCTGCTTGTAGTTCTATCACTGGGGAGGTTGAGGAAGGAGGATCCCAAGTTTGAGCTCAGTCTGGACGATTTAGTGTCTGTCTTTAAAGAAATAAGTATGTATACATACATAACTGAGGATGTAGCTCAGTGTGCCCTGAGACGGGAACAGTATTTCTGGATGGCTGCGAAGGACTGTTCATTCATCGTGTTTTTTTAATTACTACAATCCCTTGAAGATTACTAGACTTCAAAGAAAAAATTAAATCATTTGGTAATGAATCCCCGGTACTGCAAAATAAAATAATGCATTATCTGCTCTTTGAGAAATGAAAGGCAGTTCTGACTGCCAAAGTGTCAAGGATCTGTGCAGGGATGAGGAGAGACAGCAAGAGATGGATTTGGGTCCTTTGGTAGGTGCCATTCTGTACGTCCTGTGCCATGCCACGCCCGTGAGGGTGGAGGTAGGCTCACCCTGTCTCTTACGGACTGCAGGTGAGAGGACCGTACCTAGGAACCAATTCTAATGATACAAACATACTAGGGGGGATCCACCCTTTCAAAACAAAGCAGAACTCATGAGGCTGTTTTGGAGGATCTGCTGGATGCCAGCCTTTGGGGATTCAAAGGTTAGGAAGAAAATCCTCATCCCAGCACTCTGGGAGGCTGAGGCAGGAAGATTGCACCTTAGAGCTCAGTTTGGGTAATTTAGCCACTCAGTGAGATCCTGTCTCAAAAAAAGAAGAGGAGAGGCTGAGGATGGAGCTCAGGACAAAGGTGCTGGGTTCAGTCCCCAGTATTAGGGGGAAGAAAAAAGTAAAGAGAAGAAAAAGAAGCCCTTTTCTTCTCCCTGAAGGGTGGAAAGGGAGGAGGGAGAGATGTAAAGTGTCAATTATATGACAAACACAGGGAGGTAGATGTCACACAAAGAAGCTCACAGGGTGGAGGGGTAGGCAGAGCTGTCTCTGGAACATCTGCTCGTGTAGGTGGCTTTGAAAGTGGGGATGGGGGCTGCAGGAGACACTGAAGGTCAGCTCGTGTCTGACTCCTGAAGGATGCCCCTGGCTACACTTCCTTTCCTACCCAGCCCCTTTTGCCCACCACTGCCGGATTAGTCTTTGAAAAGGCCTCTGCTCACTAGGCCATGAGATCTCCTCAACTTGTGTCAAAGCCCTGCAGTTGGGAATAATCCCCACTGTCACCCCCAGCCATCGTTCTAGCCTCTCCCTCCCCGCTGACATTGTAACCAGCAAACCGGAGTGCTTATTATTTGCAGAGCATCACCACCGGTGTCTCACTGCAGCCCCCCGTTTATGCTGTTGGCTCTTGCTAGAGTGCTTCACCGTCACATTCCAAATGTAAGGACAGTGGCTGTCTTTGAGGACCCAGTCTAAATGCCTCTGTGATTTTCTCCAGAGAGAACATTTGAGGTCCCCTTGCTGGCTCCAAGACTTGGAGGGGCCTTTTCCTCTGTGGGCTACATCTCCCTTGACATTTTTAAAAATTTAATGGTACTTGGGGTTGAACCCAGGGAACACTGAGCTCTACATCTCTAGTCCTTTTTGAAGTTTTAAGGCAAAGTCTTACTAAATGTCTCAGGCTGGCCTCAAACTTGTGATCTTCCTAACTCAGCCTACCTTGTAGCTGGGATTGCGGGAATGCACAACCATGCCAAGTTTATTCTATGTCCTATAATAACAGTTTGAGTATTTTTTCCTTTATACTTCTTTGAGGATGAAGACAAGTTTTCTTCATTGCTGTCATGGAATCCTCCCTCTAGAGGTGTGAGTGAATGGCCGGTGGCCAGAAAATGAAGATTAGGCAAGTCTTTGAGACTTTGAGGCTGGCATGGTGGCACACACCTGAAACCTCAGCACTTGGGAGGCTGAGGCAGGAAGAGTGCTTTGAGTTTGAGGCCAGCCTGGGCCGCAAAGTGAGTTCAAGGCCAGCCTGAACTACATAGTGAGATCCTGTCTCAAAAAAGAAAGAAAGAAAGAAAAGGAAAAAGAAACTTCTGAGAGATCTCCAGTACCTTCAGTTCCCTAAAGTTCTCTCTGCCTTTCATTGTGTATAGAAGCTTGTTTTCCTTACCTTACTTTGAATCTTTTTTTTTTTCTTTTCTTTTTTTTTTGTGGTACTGAGGAACAAACCCAGGGCCTTAATACTGAACTACATCCCTATCCTTTTTATTTTATTTATTTATTTGTTTATTTTTTTGATACAGGGTCTTGCTAAGTTGCCCAGGCTGAGCTCAAACTTGCATTCCTCCTCCTTTAGCTTTCCCAAGTGCTGAGATTACAGGTGTGTGCCACCATGCTCAGCTCCCTCTTCAAAATGTTTTAGATTTTGAGGTCGGATCTCATTAAGTTGCCCAGGCTGAGGTCTCCTGACTCAGCCTCCCAGAGTGTTGGGATAATAAGTGTGGGTCACCATGCCTGGCTTTTCCTGCGCATCTTTGAGATGAGCCACCTGAAAGCTTTCCTAAGCTCCTGTCAGGTGTGGGTCGTTGTGCACAGTGCTAGAGCTCTAGGGTTGATGAGGATAAATTCACCTGTTTCTCTGGAAGTCCTCCCTATTGCAGGGCTTGGGGAGTGCCACCGGGATTAGTGCTTCGGCACAAGCAGAGGGGCTGCAGGGTGACTCTGGGGGACTTTCAGAAAAGCTGAGGAGGGAGGGACCGAAGCCGCCCACTAGGGGCGCTGTGGCGGCGCTGTCCCTGGTGGATGTGCTCGGAATGGGGCTGGATCCCTGAAGCAGGGCGTGGTGGTGATTTCTCCTATCTCGGTGACTTTGGGCTTTGTTTGTGCAGAAACACATCATCCATGGCCTCCTTCCTGCAGCCAGCATCGCTCCAAAGCCAGCTGTGCCTCGAACACCCCCTCCCCGCAGCCTCAGCCCTTCCCCTGAGAGGCCAAGGTGAGTCTCACATGAGCAGGTACCGAAGTCCAGCCCTGTGCATGGCTGCCAGGGACTGGGTCCTAGAACCTGCAGACTGTCCAGAAAATCCCAAGCAGCGGAACTAGAATCCTGTATTTTGAAATACTTCCCACAGCGCCCTGCATCTGCCTTCTCTGAGGGGCAGTGCACTTCCTTGGGCTCTGTCCCTTTCTGTCTGGAGCTCTCGCATTTCACAATTAGATGCGGTTCAAACTTTTTGCAACGTACATCGTGAAAGCCCAGCTTTCCTTCAAAGTCCTTCACAGAGAATTTTGAATTCTGCACAGAAAAATTGTGTATTTTTTTTTTTTAGACAGCGTTCTATCTTTTACAAGATCTGCTATGTGGGCGTGGTGGCATACGCCTGCAATCCCAGCACTCTGGAGGCTGAGATAGGAGGATAGGGATGAGTTCGAGGCCAACCTGGGCTACATAGTGAGTTCAAGGCCAGCCTGCACTACAGTGAAACCCTGTCTTAACCCCACCCCCAAGACAAAATATGCCATGTGATTCTCCATTGTTCAGCACCTCCAAACGCACCAAACAGCTGACTCTTAATTCCTGAACCTCTCTGCCTGTACCCTCCATGTTTTAAGACACAGGGGAGTTTTAGACTAGTGTTTTTCTGTTTTTGTTTTGTTTTCCTTTTTTTGTACTGGGGATTGAACCCAAGGCCTTCACACTGAGCTACATCTCCAGCCCTTTTATTTTTTAGTTTTTGAGACAGAGTCTCACTAAGTTGCTAAGCTGACCAGGTTGAGCTCAGCCTCCCAGAGTGCTGGGACGGTTGGTGTGTACCACCATGCCTGGCATAGCATTGTTTTAATTTGTAAACTCCATGGATTTGGCTATTAACACTGAGTGAGAACTAGTTTAATTCCAGGATGGTACTTTCTTTTTAGTCTTCTTTGGAACTAGAATATTGTCTGCCCCTTATTAAAAAATCACTCTGAGCCAGGTGTGGTGGTGCATACCTGTAGTCCCAGCACTGGGGAGGCTGAGGCAGGAAGATCACTGGGAGTTCAAGGCCCGCCTATACTGCATAGTGAGACCCTGTCTTAAAAATAAAATCACCCAGGGCTAAGGGTATAGCTCAGTGGAAGAGCGCTTACCTAGTGTGTATGAGGCTCTCAATTTAATTCCCCAGCACCACCAAAAACAAAAAAAAAAGAACCCTCTGCACTACTTACATGTTTGATTTTTCCTTCAGCACAAGCTTGATAACACAAGTAGCGTGTATCAGTGTTGACTTTGTGCCGAGTACTCTTGGAAGCAGACGGTCTCCTTTCATCCCCCATCTCAACAGCGCTGTGAGCGCACTTCTGTTCTCAGCTCTCGCTTGCGTCCCTGAGGCTCAGAATCACAGGGTTGGCTGTTGAGTGGCTGCTTCTCTACAAGAAGGTGGCTCTGTGTTGCCCTTCAGCATTGGTGTGAATGGCTCTTGCGTTGTGTTTTGGCGGGGGGGGGGTGTTATTTCTATTGTAATCCACTGTGCAGCAGAAAAGTAATGGGACAGATTACTTCATGGCAAGTGTGCTTTGGACTTGGTAGGAAATCTCTCCTCGTAGTCTCCTGTGCTTTATGCAAGTATCTTCATGGGTTATAGTCTTTATGACCACAAATACGCAACATGGTTTTGGCAAATTTGGCATATTTATAGATTCTTTTTTATGTAAAAAAAATAACATCTCAGTTAATCTTTACTGTTACCCCACTTCATGTATTTTTATATTTATTTATTTATTTACTTACTTTGTTTGTTGGTCGGTTTGTTTTTTGAGGGTAGGGTTTTGCTGTGTAGTTCAGGCCGACCTTGAACTCACTACGTAGCCCAGGCTGGCTGTCGTGGTTACTTTTCTCTTGTTGCTGGGACAAAATACCTGATGCCCAAAATTAAGGAAGGAAAGGTTTATTTCGCTTACAGTTTGTGGAGGTTTCAGTCCATACTTGGCAGGTTACAAGGCAGAGTGGCACATGGCAGAGAGCTACAGCTCATGGCGGCAGAACACAGCAAAAGCGACAACCACAAAAGCCAGCAATGGCCACAAGCACTCTCTTCCTCTCCCTTACATATGCAAACTATCCACCCCAGGGCGGGTGTAGCTCTCACACCCAAAATCAATCAAACTCTGAAAGCCTGCCCCATGACCGCATGAGGCTTTAGGGGAACACCCAGACACAAACCATAACACTGGCCTTGAATTTGTGGCAGTCTGCCTGCCTCGGCCTCCCAAGTGCTGGGATCACGGGTGTGTGCCACCATGCCCTGTTCTCCCACTTTGTAGATAAAGTAAGAACCTTCCAGTAATCAAGTTCTACTTCCCCTTTTCCCTCTTTGGTGCTATTGTTGTCATACATTTAAATTCTAAATGTAGAAATACCACAATGCATGGTTACTGTTTTTGCTTGTAGGTGGTCACTTTTTTTATTAAAAGTTTTATTGAAGTGTAATGAACTGTACATATTTAAATGCATAATTGGATAGTTTTTTTATTTTTTAAATTTTATTTTTTTAATTTTTATTTTAAAGAGTAAAAGAAGGATAACATAATAATGGGGGGGCTTGCCAAATTACAGACAAAGTGGTAGGAAATTATCGATGGTTATTGTTTTACATATTGTTATCTACAAGATAGTTTCTCAGGAAAACAAATAGACAAATAATAGTGAGTTACAGAAAAAAGAGGTGGGAGATTATCAATAGTTGTTGTACTATACTTTGGTATCTTCAAAGTGGCTTCTAAAGAAAATAGAGCTGTACATGAGTGACCAATTGAATGATCATTAACTATTCTCAATGGTTGTTGTAGGAGACACATAATAATAAACATACATCCATTTATGAAATAGGATAGGAACAATACAAACGTTATAGAGTTATGGATAGATTAGTAGGAAAATATCAGTGGCTGCTGTAATACATGGTGATATCTTCAAAGTGGTTTCTCAGGAAGACAGAGATATGCAAGAAGGATCTAACAAGTAGTTACAGCCTAAGGGTTGTCAAAAATAGCATATTACCTCCTCACCAGTGACTCCTTTCACTGAGGTATGATGGCTGGAAGGAAGGCCAGGATTGAAAAGAAGGACCGAGAGACTCGCACCTGTGTCTAGCAACAGGCTGTTTTCTTGTTCCTCCATAGTCATGATTACCCAGGGCTCCTCGATGGAGATGACGGTCTGGCCAGAGGGAGAAGGCAGACCATGCCCCAAGCCCTCTCATTCCTGTTGGACTAACTGGTAGCATGGGTCTGATCTCTGGGGCCTCCACCTCAGAGGGCAGACCGATCTCCAGTGGTCTCCTTTGCATCCAGGGCATGGCCCAGGGGGCCTCTTAGGGCAGTTCCTCTTGAGGTGGCCTGGCTTTTAACAGTGGTAGCAGATGAATGCAGTCATCAAGTTCTTCTTGGGGCTCTGGGAAGGATAGTTTGTTTTTTTTCTTCAAATATTGGGGATGGAACCCAGGGGAACTCTACCACTGAGCTAAACCCTCAGTTCTTTCTATTTTTTATTATGTGGCATGGTCTCACTAAGTTGCTGAGACTGGCCTCAAACTTGCAGCCCTCCTGCCTCAGACTCCCAAGTAGCTGGAATTACAGGTGTGCACTGCCACGCCCATCATAATTTGATAAGTTTTGCCAGCGCATCCTAGTGCCTCTATGTAACTCCTTCCTCCTTCCCCCTCCCTCCTCCCGTTCCCCTGCCCAGCCCCCACACCATCCTCTGGCACCCACCAGCCTGTCTCTGTCACTACAGGTTAATTGGTATTTACTCGACTTTTGTATAGTGAAGTTACGTAAAACAATTACACTGGCTTTCACTCAGCATGATTACTTTGAAATTCATCCATGTCACTGAACCAATAATTCACCCTTTTTATTTCTGAGTATCAGTACACTAGGTACTGTAGTCCCCTTTTATCTGTGGCTTTGCTTCTGCAGTTTCAGTTACCCAGTCAACCACTGTCTAAAAGTGTTCCATGGAACTCCAGAAATGAACCTTTCATAAGTTTTATTTTTTTATTTTTGTTTTTTTTCCGGTACAGGGAATCGAACTCATGACCTCGTGCTTGCCAGGCAGGCACTGTGCCACTGAGCTAAATCCCCAGCCCCCATTCATAAGTTTTAAATAATTTTTATTACAATATGTTCTGTGTGTGTGTGTATGTGTGTGTGTGTGTCTGTCTGTCTGTCTATGGTATTGAGAGTTGAATCTTTCCTACTGAACTACATCCCCAGCCCATTTAAAATTTTTTATTTTGAGACAGGGTCTCACTAAGGTGCTAAGTTGCCCAGGTTGTACTTGAACTTGTGATCTTCCTGCCTCAGCCTCTGGAATGCTGGGATTATAAGTGCACCACCACGCTTGGCCAGTTTGTTTCTAAATTTTGGTTCCTGGAATAAAGCTGTTGTGCATATTTGCCCAAAAATCTTTGGATACATGCTTTCATTCCTCTTGGTTGAATGTCTGGAGGTGGAATATCTTCTAGAGCAAGTGTTAGATGGGTATTTAACTTTTTTTTTCTTTTCTTTTTGAGACAGGGTCTGGCTAGGCAGTTCAGGCTGACCTTGAGCTCACTTTGTAGCCCAGGCTGATCTCGAACTTGCAATGATCCTCCTGCCTCAAATGGGTATTTAACTTATTAAGAAATTGTTGTACTGTTTTTCAAAGTTGTTCCACTTATGTTCCCACCAATAGCGTGAATTCCAGGGGCTTCGTATCCTTACACCTGTTGATTTGGTCAGTCTCTGTGTGTGACTGTACACAGTTATTTGACAGTTGGCGTTTAGTTGTCATCCACACTGAGTGGAGGCTGCAGGTGCATATGTAACCCCTGTGTAAACAGAGTGTGTGTGGCTGTTTATCCTTGTCACACTCCCCGGGCAACCCTATGCAGACAGGTGTGAGATGCTGTTTCATTCAGCAGCTACAGCTTTGTGGTCCTTGTCCTATGTGGAGCTCCCATCTCCTTCGCAGTA